CAAACACGTTTGGTGTTCGCCAAAAGGCATGTGGGAGACTCCCCAAACATATGGAAGAAGGTACTCTGGTCAGATGAGACTAAAATTGAGCTTTTTGGCCATCAAGGAAAGCGCTATGTCTGGCGCAAACCCAACACCTCTCATCACCCCGAGAACACCATGTTTTTCATCTGCAGGGACTGGGAAACTGCTCAGAATTGAAGGAATGATGGCGCTAAATACAGGGAAATTCTTGAGGGAAATCTCTTTCAGTCTTCCAGAGATTTGAGACTGGGACGGAGGTTCACCTTCCAGCAGGACAATGACCCTAAGCATACTGCTAAAGCAACACTCGAGTGGTTTAAGGGGAAACATTTAAATGTCTTGGAATGGCCTAGTCAAAGCACAGACCTCAATCCAATTGAGAATCTGTGGTATGACTTAAAGATTGCGGTACACCAGTGGAACCCATCCAACTTGAAGGAGCTGGAGCAGTTTTGCCTTGAAGAATGGGAAGAAATCCCAGTGGTTAGATGTGCCAAGCTTATAGAGACATAACCCAAGAGCTGTAATTGCTGCAAAAGGTGGCTCTACAAAGTATTGACTCAAGTTTTCATTTTATTTTCAAAATATTTTGCATCTTCAAAGTGGTAGGCATGTTATGTAAATCAAGTGATACAAACCCCCCAAAAATCCATTTTAATTCCAGTTTGTAAGGCAACAAAATAGGAAAAATGACATGGGGGGTGAATACTTTCACAAGCCACTGTATTTCATGCCCAATTGTCTCATTCTGACTTATCGCAAGGCTATCAAACTGATGTAAATATTTGTTTTCCTAAGCCGCCTGAATTGAACATATTTGTATTATGTATTTGTATTATGTCATTATATATCATATGTTAATTAGACAATAATGTAATATTTGTGCCTTTTCTGGATCAGTTGACTTAAAACATAGAATAAGCAGAAATCAGTAGGCCTTGTGTCTAGACCATCAACAATCCTTCTTTATTTTAAAGGCATGCTCTGGAACTTTAGTGACTAGTAAGTATTTTTTAAACCTCCCGCTTTGGGCGGTATGTGTCAATTTGTAGTTCATACATGCATTATCTATGAGCAGAATTACTGTCTTACCGCAATTAGCCATGAAATCCCTAGCTGTGCGGCGCCATTTTCCCTACATTTTCTCCTAAGTGGACCAGCCCCCTAGCAATTCGAGTTCTAGCCAATGAGCTTCAGCCCATCGCCATTTGAGTGACAGCTAGCAAGATGCACACACAGCAGAGCGAGAGAGAGAGAGAGAGAGAGAGCAATGAGATGTGATGTAGTAAGCAATTTTCGGGGACTAAAAAGTATACAAACATACCAGAGAATCTCTTTAATGTACAGAATGTAAAGAGTAACCATCTACCACTCCAACAGCACACTGTTGTGTAAGCAGCACCATCTTCATTTACTCTCTCTAATTGCATCTCTTGACAGCAAAAGGCCTCCTGGTAGTAGTAAGAAAAACAAACCCCATCAGGGACAGTTGCAGAGGGAGGGTGTCAAATGCTAATTAGTGTGACATTGCACTTTCATTAATCAAATCAAATGTTATTTGTCACATGCGCTGAACCCAACAGGTGTAGACTTTACTGTGAAATGCTTACTTACGAGCCCTTTCCCAACAATGCAGAGTTTAAAAGTAAGAAACATTTGCTACAAAAAAAGGAACTAGTTACACAATAAAATAACAATAAAGAGACTATATACAAGGAGCATCGTTACCGAGTCAATGTATAGGGGTATGAGGTAGTTGAAGTAATTGAGGTAATATATACATGTAGGTAGGGGTAAAAGTAACTAGGCAATCAGGATAGATAATAAACAGAGTAGCAGCAGCGTATGTGAAGAGTGTGAAAGAGTGTGTGTGTGTGTGTGTGTGTGTGTTGGAGTTTCAGTGTAGTATGTGTGAGTGTGTGGGTAGAGTCCAGTGAATGTGCATAGAGCTGGTGCAAGAGAGTCAGTGCAAATAAAAAGGGGGTCAATGCAAATAGTCGTGACCAGCCTTTCAAAGCAATTCATGGCTGCAGATGTGAGTGCTACGGGGTGATAGTTAATTTAGACAGGTTACCTTGGCATTCTTGGGCACAGTGACTATGGTGGTCTGCTTGAAACATGTAGATATTACAGACTGGATCAGGGATAGGTTGAAAATGTCAGTGAAGACACTTGCCAGCTGGTCAGCACATGCTCTTGAGTATGCTTCCTTGTAATCCGTCTGGCCCTGCGGTCTTGTGAATGTTAACCTGTTTAAAGGTCTTACTCACATCAGGTACGGAGAGAATGTTCACACAGTCGTCCAGAACAGCTGGTGCTCTCATGCATGGTTCAGTGTTGCTAGCTTCGAAGCTACCATAGAAGGCATTTAGCTCGTCTAGTAGACTTGCGTCACTAGGCAGCTCATGGCTGGGTTTCCCTTTGTAATCCATGATAGTTTGCAAGCCCTGCCACATCCGACGAGCGTCAGAGCCGGTGTAGTAGGATTCGATCTTAGTCCTGTATTGACATTTTGGCGGTTTGATGGTTCATCCGAGGGCGTAGCGAGATTTCTTATAAGCGTCCGGATTAGTGTCCCGCTCCTTGAAAGCAGCAGCTCTAGCCTTTAGCTCAGTGCGTTTGTTGTCTGTAATCCATGGCTTCTGGTTGGGATATGTACATGGTTGGGATACTTAAAGAGAATTGATAGAACAATATCTGTTCTACAGAATCTCTGGGTACATATTGTTACACCAGAGAGCTTGCATGGTCAAACGTCAAATAGGGGGTGCTTATATTTGCCCTGTTTCACACATGTACAAGTGTGTAACCTATACAAGTGTGTTGGGGTGAAATGGAAATTCGTTTTTTGCATATCCCACTCCCCCTGAGACTGGGGTCACAGCCAGAGATCAGCTATTATTGACCGCGACCCTGGAGCAATAAGGGCTAAGTGCCTTGATCAAGAGCAGATTGACAGATTTCGCCTACTTGGCTCAGGGATTCGAACTAGCAACCTTTTGGTAACTGGCCCAACGCTCTGACCACCTGTCGGATAGTGTCACTTATTTTCTTGGAAACTGAGTCCTATGAATACAAGGGGTAAGTCAGTGTAATGACCATGTGCTTGAGGGAAATTACAGGGTTATGAAATGCATTGTTTCGTTGATGTACTTAATCCTATTCACCCCCACTGGGATATATGTCCACATGGCTGTAAAAAAAAAAAGTATAATATAATCATCACTATGACAAGGTGCAACCTCGTGTTGTGTTGATTCGGTTGACGCTATGAAACTTAAACTGCTCACAATCTAGGAAGCAATGAATAGCTTGACCGGAGTCTATTTCTGCTGTAGTGTAATTTGACAATCTGTCAAATGTCATCTTCTGTAGGAATAATACATTTTTCAGCAGCCCATTCCATGTCCACACTAGGGTTACATGGTGTCCCCATTTATGCAGGAATTTAACGAATTTATTCACATCACATTTTGAGACAGATTACTAGGTCACTTGAGGAGAAGAACTGTATTGTTGTAGTGTATCATATTCACTACTAAGTAAATCAGTTGTGCGGGCTGTCAATATTGGCATGTTGGGCAAAAGTACATCAGGCACACACCAATAGATCAATGAAACATCTCTGGAAGAACCATTTCCATACCAATGTTAATAATAATATACCATTTAGCAGACGCTTTTATCCAAAGCGACTTACAGTCATGCGTGCATACATTTTAATGTATGCGTGGTCGCAGGGATCGACCCCACTACCCTGGCGTTACAAGCTCCGTGCTCTACCAGCTGAGCTACCACAGAGGATTTGTAAAGAATGATGCAAGAGGTATAAAACACTTTCTCATACATTGATTAGGCCTACTAATTAATTAATAGATTAGGCCACTAATTATGAAAAGGGGGAGGGGGGCTATTGTAGCCTACCAATAGTAAATTACTGCAAGGGTCCACAATAAGCATAAACTTGTTTAATGTCAAAATTGTGGATGACTGACTCCAACATACTTCCAAACGAACAGCCAATAGGAAACCTCAACGAGTGAACCTCCTCTCGAGACTAAATACAAACACATGGCCTGACAGTTGAAATGATTGTGAATGCATTATGTCTGTGTCTTTGCATTTCAGTTTGAAATAAAACATAAGAATTTAGGTGTTTGTGGCCTGACAGTTGAAATGATTGTGAATGCATTATGTCTGTGTCTTTGCATTTCAGTTTGAAATAAAACATAAGAATTTAGGTGTTTGTGGCCTGACAGTTGAAATGATTGTGAATGCATTATGTCTGTGTCTTTGCATTTCAGTTTGAAATAAAACATAAGAATTTAGGTGTTTGTGGCCTGACAGTTGAAATGATTGTGAATGCATTATGTCTGTGTCTTTGCATTTCAGTTTGAAATAAAACATAATAATTTAGGTGTTTGAGTAGAGAAGGTAAGTGCGTGTTTTTCTGATATTACTTGTTGTTATATGCGATTTGAATAAGTTATGTGATTCACCTAATATAAACTTTTGGTATAAAATGTCTTCCAAGCTCTATACAGAGTCAAGCGTTCGATTACTTTTATTTGTTTATGTATATTATGACGCAAAAATGATTGTGTAACCTAAAGTGAGCATCACTATTCTTCTCTTGATCTTTCTCTCTCTCTTTCTCTTTCGCTCCCACTCTCCTCCTCCTCGAACACCGGGGGCGTGGAAGTTCGAACTTGATTCTGAACGTTTAAACACTCGACTTTATTGTACTGATTTTCTTTTCAAGCAGTTGAAAGGCTAAGGGTACAAGATGGTAAGATAAAATATATATTTATTCGAAAAGTATTATTATTCATTACATACATTGTCTGTTGTGATGTCATCTTATTCAATGTCTTATTTCAATTTCACATTCCAAGATTTATGAGCTATTGAAAGAATGATCTTTAACGTTAATGCTTATATGTCATGTTTTGTATCAATCTATTTAGACTACCTACATGGACAGAGGTGAAAAGGTTAGTCCTTTAATTAATACTCTTTTTGAATTGCCCATAGATATTTTTATGAACACATAATTATTAGAATGACTTTTAACTAGTTCAAAGTATGATTCAATAGTTGAGAAACGAACAAATGTATTTAAAATGTGTAAATAGCCTACCAATATGTTTAAATGTGCAATAATCGTTCTCTTACATCTAAGAATGTATAATTGCTATTTCATAAATAAATGAATGGGCTGATACATACCGGTATTAAATTGTTCTGGATTTGTTCGAAGCACGACCATGGCAAGTTCGTCTGTTTCGACCACATCACATTCTGGGTTGGAAATGCCAAACAGGTATGAGAATCATGTGCCAGGATGGCTGTTTTTCACTTTTTTTTTCATGTGGTAAAAATGTTCCTGAACTTTCTCAAAGTTAAAGGAGTATTCACTGAGGGATGGCTATTGGCTCTCTTAAGGGGTGGGGGCAATAGGCATGAAACCTCAGAGTAGACCCCACCATTCTCCCTGCTCTTAATTTGATCCAGAAGCTGGAGGTTTTCCACTCCATCACCAGGAGGTGGCGGCCCACCACAGTCCTTTACAGTTCACAACACACTATAGAACTGTTATTAAGGTGTTGTGCCTGATAGTAAATGTACAAATATTGTATTGCTTGGTGATTGATTGTGAGTGGCAATAGTGTTTTTTCTTCTGTTTCAACAGGCAGCATCTTACTATTGTAACAAGCTTGGATTTGAACCGTTGGCCTACCAGGGTTTAGAGACAGGCTGCCGTGATGTGGTGTCCCATGTGGTCAAACAAGACAAGGTGAGCAGAGCATTGCAGCATTCTGAATTCATTATGGCACATGTTTATAATAGTGAGGTAACTTGATACAAGTGATGGAGGTCCTTGGTTGTCCACCATGTAACTTTCAGGCTATTTTTTCCCCACAGATTATTTATGTATTCGCGTCCGCCCTCAATCCTGGAAACAAAGGTACAGTATGACACAAAAATGTAATCCTTCATGTGGTTAGATATGATGAGATAAGCTGTCACTGACTAGTGTGCTACTTCACCCACTCCGATTTGAGTATACTTTTGTCCATCTCCTTTATTCAGAAATGGGGGAGCATTTGGTCAAACATGGGGATGGAGCCAAGGACATTGCATTCACTGTGGAGAACTGTGATTACCTTGTGCAGGTACCAAAGCAGGCTTACCGTTTAAACCAATATCGCTGCTCTTTCTGGAATGAGGAGAATGCCTCTTTCCTAATGAGATGGGTTGTAAATATACTTTTGGATTGCAATCGTTTTCTTTGATTTATTGAAAAGATGCATAGCCATAGGATTAGTCTTTTTTTATCTTCCTGGATCTTCATCACATGCATATGATTATCTGTCTATTATACTATAGAAAGCCAGAGAGCGTGGTGCCATCATAGTGAAAGAGCCGTATGTACTGGAGGACAAATATGGCAGAGTAAAGCTGGCTGTTCTCCAGACGGTAAGTCAATCAATATCTGGTGAAACTGAGTGCCGAAAAGTAGATTTACAGTATGCTCTAGATTTGGGATTTTCTCTTATATCACTATAGTATGGGGACACCACACACACATTTGTGGAGAGGATGGCGTACAACGGGCTGTTCCTCCCAGGGTTCCATCCTCCTCTCCACCGGGACCCCTTGTTGGCCAAGCTGTGAGTATGAACAATTTGATCTGGTGTTAGAGGGTATAGTGCTCTTTACAGACCATTGTAAACAAGACAGAATTCGAGTGACTGTTTCAGTTAAACAGTTGACATCACTGTGAGGCCTTATCTAACGTTACAGACCCAGTGGATTACTGAACTTCATTGACCATGTTGTGGGGAACCAGCCAGATGATGAGATGGTGCCTGTAGTGGAATGGTAAGGCATTGTCTAGGCCTAGCCTAGGGCACAGGGATGTATTAACACACACACTGGCCTGTATATTTTATTCCAGACAAAAACATCCATGAACATCAGAGTTTCCTCTACCACACACTGAATGCAGTATAAAAGAAACAGCAACCTATAGCCAACATTTTAGGATTAATTTTACATTCTCTAGAATGTTCTCCATCCAATGCAACTGAGGCCAAGTTGACTACTCCTCATGGTTCTGCATGCAGCTGTAGTTAGGTGGGTGAATAGATGGGTGGATGGGGAGGCGTCAGTATTATGTAACCCAGGGTGTTTGGCATAGGCCAGATGCTACTATGACTTAACAGTTTTTGAGCCGGGTCCCTGGGGTTCCCCACATCTGGAGTCAGTTAGAGCTCCACCATGCAGCTCTGAGATAGAAAACAGGGATGGGTTTGATCTCTAAAGGGAAGGGCCAGGGAAGAGGGCTGTGGGATAGATATAGTGTAGTCTCTCACCTGTCCATCCAACACACAGGGGTTCCTGAGTAGTAAGTTCTGTTTCCATAGGTACCAGAATAACCTGCTCTTCCACCGGTTCTGGTCAGTAGACGACAAGCAGCTGCAGACAGACTTCAGTGCACTGCGCTCCATCGTTGTGGCCAATTATGAAGAGACAGTGAAGATGCCCATTAATGAGCCAGCCATGGGTAAACGCAAGTCCCAGATCCAGGCAAGTCATCGCCATGTTATTCAATATATCATATATTAAGTATGTAAAGAAAAGTTTACCAACGTAACAAAGACATCCATACACATATTCAGTACTGTACCTTTCAAAAACAGCATTACAAAAAATTGAATGAGTAGAGCTTGTACCTCGCTAAACTCACTGGACTTAACAGGAGTATGTGGAGTACTACGGTGGCCCAGGTGTCCAGCACATCGCCATGAACACATCAGACATCATCACCGCAGTAAGTCTTTTCACACAAAACGCTAAGCTCAACCTGGTTACTTTTACATACACATTAATGGAAGATGGAAGATTGAAAGATTGGTGTGGTTAGTGTATTCTCTTTGTTGTAGATCCGTAACCTGAAGGAGCGTGGCATGGAGTTTATGTGTGTGCCAGACTCCTACTACCAGCTGCTGAGAAAGAATCTCCAACAATCCCAAGTCAGGATCAGTGAGGACCTGGACATTCTGGAGGTCAGAGACACCATTTTCTCTGATGTTTTAATAAATGTTTCAATTATTTATTATATTTCAATTATCCAAATACCTGATAGTTAATTGCATTATGATGATCATTCAGTTAATTTGAACTTCCATGGTAGGTTCTTAGCTACTCAGCCTGATAAGCACTCTAATGTCCTGTTGCTCTGACAGGAGCTGAAGATCTTAGTGGATTTTGATGACAATGGCTACCTACTCCAGATCTTCACCAAGCCTGTTCAGGACCGTCCCACGGTGTTCCTGGAGGTCATTCAAAGACACAACCATCAGGTGAGAGGAGCATGAAATTTCAAAGAGCCTTACCAATGAAACAATATATAACCAGATTGAATTTAGGACTATAAGCTTTGCTAGTGGATTGAAAAGTCAATTTACAGTATGTAATGATGATAAAGATTGATGTGCAGATCTACATTTAGACTGAAAACTATGTGAAAACATGTCTTTGTACTCTTCCTAGGGCTTTGGTGCAGGCAACTTCAAGGCTCTTTTCGAGGCCATCGAGGCAGACCAGAACGCTAGAGGGAACTTGACTATCCTGACCCCTAATGGAGTGTCTAACCAAATTTGAAGTACCCCTCTGATTTACACGATTGATATAATGTCCATCATCTCTGAAGATTACATTTAATTTAGAAATATTGCAAATCATTTGTTCAACAATTTATATCTGAGGTGAACCAGAATCTAGTTGAATGACTGATGGATAAATTGCTGCTCTGTGCACACACAAATTGAAATTATGATTGACATGCCTTGTGGAGTCAAACGTAGGAATGATTGTTAATTATTTGAATAATTTAGTGACACTAAAAGACCATAAAAAATATATTTTACTTGATGCCAATTTTAAATACAGTGCCTTCAGAAAGTATTCATAACCCTTGACTTATTCCACATTTTGTTGCGTTACAGCCTGAATTCAAATGGATTAAATAAAAAAAATGTGTCACCCATCTACACACAATACCATATAATGACAAAGTGAAAACATGTTTTTAGACATTTTTGCAAATGTATTAAAAATGAAACACATAAATATCTAATTTACATAAGAATTTACAGCTGTGAGTATTTCTGGGTCTCTAAGAGCTTTGCACACCTGGATTGTACAATTTTTTTATTTTTATTATTCAAGCTCTGTCAAGTTGGTTGTTGATAATTGCTAGACAGCCATTTTCAAGTCTTGCAATAGATTTTCAAGACGATTTAAGTCAAAACTATAACTAGGTCACTCAGGAACATTCAATGTCGTCTAGGTAAGCAACTCCAGTGTATATTTGGCCTTGTGTTGTAGGTTATTATCCTGCTGAAAGGTGAATTTGTCTCCCAGTGTCTGTTGGAAAGCAGACTGAACCAGGTTTTCCTCTAGGATTTTTCCTATGCTTAGCTCTATTCCGTTTATTTTTATACAAAAAAAACTCCCTAGTCCTTGCCGATGACAAGCATACCCATAACATGATGCAGCCACCACCATGCTTGAAAATATGAACAGTTTTACTCAGTGATGTGTTGTGTCGGATTCGCCCCAAACATAACGCTTTGTATTCAGAACATAAAGTACATTTCTTTGCCACATTTTTTGCAGTTTTACGTTAGTGCCTTATTGCAAACAGGATGCATGTTTTGGAATAGTTTTATTTTGTACATGCTTCCTTCTTTTCACTCTGTCATTTAGGTTAGTATTGTGGAGTAACTACAATGTTGTTGATCCATCCTCAGTTTACTCCTATCACAGCCATTCAACTCTGTAACTGTTTTAACCTCCCTGGTCTTTGTGGTTGAATCTGTGTTTGAAATTCACTGCTAGACTGAGGGACCTTACAGATAATTGTATGTGTGAGAGATGAGGTAGTCATTTAAAAGTCATGTTAAAAACTATTATTGCGCAAAGAGGGAGTCCATGCAACTTATTATGTAACTTGTTACACAAATTTCTACTCCTGAACTTATTTAGGCTTGCCATAACAAATGGGTTGAATAGTTATTGACTCAAGACATTTCAGCTTTACATTTTTAATAAATTTGTAAACATAAAGACATAATTCCACTTTGACATTATGGGGTATTGTGTGTGGCCAGTGACACAAAATCTCAATTTAATAAATTCAGGCTGTAACGCAACAAAATGTGGAAAAAGTCAAGGGGTGTGACTACTTTCTGAAGGCTGTGTATTTGTTTCTGGCTTAGAAAACACATTTTTGTGACTGATCAAAGAATTATCAAATATGTTGATGTACAATCCAAAGCAACAGCAACAGAGCAGACATCATCATTAGATTTGAGCCAGCTATGTTATAAAATCTGGTATTAACAAGCAATTTTTAAGTATGACATTAACTCTGTAGTCTTAGCTTCATATTGTCTTATTTGCCTTACTTCTAAAAAAATAATCATATTTAAGTGAAACTAAGTGATAAACCACAACATATGACTCAATAAGACGCACAATGTTTTCTTTCCATGAACTAAAAGGCATTTTTACACATTACTTGTTCATTTTGATTCCTCCAATTGCTTTCGTAACCTTTTTTACTTTGACTACTTTTAGCATTAGTTTTTAAGAGCATGTAATAAAAAATACAACTGCATTGAGACTCCTTCCTCATTCACAGTATTTGTTTGTGTGTGAGAGAGAGAACTTATGAAAAAGACATAATGAACCAAATAATTTATAAATATAGTGACCACTCTGCCTAAGACAACAAACCTGAGAGAACAATTACCAAAATAACTTAATAAAATGCTTGACACAAGCAGAATATATCTGCATTAGCTCTCATGAATGAAAACATTTAACTCATCATGTACACATTTGCACAAGAAATCACCTCAACAGGGCAAGGTAATATCATACCCCATCCTGTATAGTACTTTTAAGGGAGAGGAGAACAGCGCCCATCCCTGGTGCAGTGGGGGGTGTGTTTTTTTCACAAACTGTTTTAACAATAAAACACTTTTTTTTTCAGCTTGCTCCACTCTTCATGAACCTTGGTTGGAAAGGGAGGCATTATTTTTCCTATGTCAGGAACTGTAAGGCAGCAGGACAGTCAGGAGTTAATGCTTGAGAGGGGGGCTGGAGACAAGGGTTCAGAGTTCAGTTGAGGGAGCCCTGGCAGTTCTCTGCTCCACACAGACAGGGAATCTTCTCATCCTCAATGGGGAACTTGTAATCATACGTGATCTCCTCATTGACACCGATGGGCTGCCGGGAGTAGATCACTATCTTCTTCTGGGATTCCACTGTGATGATTTTTGCATAGCAATTAGGCTGAAGAGAGAAAAATGATTACTAAATCATCAGTGTGATTAGGGTTGCAAAGCTACCGGTAATTTACCAAAGTTACTGGAATATTCAGTCATTTTGGTAATTAACCGAAAATCTATGGCAATCTATTATAACTTTAGTAATTTACACTTGAATAACTTTTGAAAAATGTATTAATGTATAGTATTCATTTTTATATCTATGTCCATATTGTCCATGAGTTTCTAGTGGATAGACCATATGGTTCAAGAGAAAATAGCCTAATTAATGAAAAAAGCATCTAATCAACAATTGCATTATTTTCTATTAACTCTGAAACTATATACTTTTTTCACAACTGTCACCAGTTTGACGCCAAAACATTGACAACAAATACATACTGACATAGTAAAATAAATAAGTGTGTAAAAAATATAAAGTATATTTCATACTGAAACCCTCATATTAAACACCAATGGTATTAACTAAGTTGATGGTTTATATTTAGGATAATGTTTTACAGCAATCATCTTTTTTAATTACTTAATTAATTATTTAATTAATTTAACACACAGAGGGACAGAGATAATTAGACACCTGTAATAATCTGAAGTACCAAAAGGGCCACTAGGTGTCTTGTGCTAGATTGAAAATGCCAAAATTCTGGTATTTTACTGGTAAACTTTGAACGTTTCCGGTAATATACCCTCCATTTACAACCCCTAAGTGTGATAGTCTGACCATTGTATCTGTTTCCAAAATGTTTTATAAATTATCAATACTATAAATCAAACCATTTACAACACATAATAGTTCTGAAATGTTAATTTTTTCCATAGACCATAAACCACTCACATTGCAGCTGTGGTTGATAAATCTGGCCAAGTTCCCATATTTAGTGGCGTCGATGATGGTATCCTGATCGACCCGGAACAGGTAGCTGCTCCCAATCCCCTCATCTTCATAGCACTTCTCCCGCATATCTGCAATCACCTGAGGAGAGGGGTGGCGGGCCCATTCACACAAGTCACTCAGTTAAGAATTAGCTCTAGATTAAATATACATGTACATTAATATGTATCAAAATGTTACACCAGTCTGCTGTGCCCCTTACTTGGCATGTCCCTTATTGTGCTACCTATTTACTGTGTACTGTGGCCCAGTCTGTGTCTCACCTGTCTGATGCACTGGCCCACATACTCAATCACCATCTCATCTGCTGCTATGGGCTCCAGGGCAAACAGGCCCCAGTCATGGATGTGACTGCGGCAGAAACGAATTCTCTTCTTGCGGAACTGAAACACAGGAATATCGTCTGTGAGTAAAGCCTCATGTTGTCTGCAGTAAGAGATACACTAAACTGTACTGTCTGTCTGGGCACAGATGAGTGGTTGACTGACCTTAAGCTGGTTAAACTTGAGCAGGTCACTGTCACAGCTGAAGGAGGAGAGCAGACGGCGTTGTTCAGACCTGAACTCAGACCCAGACCGCAGGGAGGGCTGCGGCTGGGCTGAAAGACTCACCCCCTGCAGAAATAAAATAATGTCCATTATCAAAGCTGTCAGTTATCAGGTATGGCATAGAATAACATGGGGAAGAGCTTTTCCTCTCTGAATACCTGGGTGTCTGTAGCCAAACACGTGTTGTTGAGGTATTTCATTTTGTCCATCTTGCTGATTTTGTAAAAGCCCTCGCTGCGGGCAGATCCTGTCACATGGTCCCGCATCCAATCATTGAGCTCCTTCCTCTTCTCCGTCAAGACTCTGGTGAGTGCAAAGGGGTCAAGGGAACTAGACACTCATTCACTGATGTATAGAGGGATATGTATGCAATTCTTAATTAATGTCAATGTGCAACAGTTAGTCTATAAAAATGAGTTCTAAAACATACACAATAACAGTTGAGATCCCATTAGTGTATCAGTGTCCAGTGACAGTATGGTAATAACAGCTCTGTAGTAAAGGATATGAGGGTGGGGGACCCAGAGAGTGTCACTGAGCCAGCTGAAGCCATTGTCCTGCTGTAGCAGCCTGTCATAGGTGACCTGCAGCAGCTTGGCATCCTCCTCATCCAGACCCTCCCTCCAGACACTGTGGAGGACAGTCATCTCCTCACTTCGTGACCGACGACAGGGTCTGGCAGAGAAGACAGAGGGCATGGCTGTCTGCAGTGACGTCATCCTTTGCCATCGCCTCATCCTCCGCCTCATCCTCCGCCTCATTCTCGGTTGTACCCTCCTCCAAGAGCACTTCTCCATTTCTCTGTGGTTCTCCACATCCGCCAGCCCTGACCAGTTCTCCAGGCCCTGCAGGGGCATCTTCCTCTGGGTCCCAGGATTAGGATTAAGCCACACACCCCCATGGTCAGGAGTCTCTGCTGATGACTCAGACAGGCTGCTAGGAGAGGAAGCTAGAACAGATGAGTCTGTAAGCAATTCATCACAGGATAAAGGAGCACCATTAGTCCTCTGTGAAGAGGCCACCATAAGTGTAGTATTCCTGTGTGTTCTCTTGGTTGGGATGAAGTCCCTCCCAGGGGTTCGTGGGGTCCTGATGTAGAGGCCGGTGGACAGGGAGGGGAGGGGGAAAGGGCTACAGGGAGTGGGACTAAACCCCAGGCCTCCCTCTGTGAGGCCTGTCTCTCTGCCCGGTGTCACTGGCACCCTCCAGGGGGTAAGGTGATTCCATAGACCCCTCTCATCTCTGCCTGGTGTTTTGGGCATGTCCTCGTATGCTGGGTATGAGGCTAAGGCAGGGGGATGAGTGGGATGGCTCTGGGACAAAGGCTCACTGTCTGTGGGAGAGAGGGAGAGGAGATGGTCCATAGAGTCCTCCTCACTCTCCAGGAGGGCCTCTGCTCCCCGACCAGGAGTGTGTGGCAGTTCCAACTCTTCCACAGCAGGGGGGGTTGTTTTGCTCTTGAACAGCAGGTCTGAGTCGCTGTCTCCCAGAGAGCCAGTAGGGGTGAGAGGCCGGAGGTTCTCCACATTATCTGGTGACTCAATGCTCCATTCAGGGCTATCTATCTCCACCTCAAAATCAGGCTCCACCACTGTAGGTAGAGGAAAACAAACACAATTTTTTGTTCAACCCTGTAATTGCTGTCAGGCCTAAAATGAAGACATTCTACAATGTACCCAAGCATACATAAGAGTTGTTCAAATGTTATTGAAGAGCACTTCTATTATTATTTACCAACACATGCATGTCTTTAAATAAATCTACCTGGCAGTCCTATGGGTGAGGGGGCCTGGAGATCATGGTCGTGCTCACTGGGCAGGCGCTCCATCCCTGGGTCAGGTTGGCTGGTGCTGCTGGTGCGCCCAAAAACATCTCCAGTCAGACAGACTGAGTGCTTCTCCTCCCCAGGCTGATCCCTCAGGAGCGTCTCTGAACCATCCAATAGGTCCAGCTCTGTGCCTGGGGTATGAGGGGCTGAGGGTGTGGCCGGGGGCTCCAGATCCATCTCATCCTCATCTGATGACAACACCACACACTCTACCTCCCTGTTGACCTCATCAGCATCTCCATCTGTCTCCTCCTCTTCCTCTGTCTCCTGGTTAGAACTGGAGTCATAGTCTGAGAAGTCTTCACTTTCCTCAGAGAAGGAGTCTGAGGAGTCAGACTCTGAGAGGTATTCACTGTCTTCTGCGGAGTAAGACTCTACCTCCGAGAGGCTTACCTTGGCAACTTCTGGTAAATGAGAAAACAATAATGTGCATTTCAGTAGGTGTAACAGAATCATTGAGCATTACGTTTATTATAACTATTAAAACCCCTTAAGACAAAAACTCAAAGCTTCTTAAACATTACCCTCATTTGGAGACTGTAATCCTGTTGTAACTTTAGAGAAGACCACATCTTCATCTTCATCTTCATCATCGTCCACTTCTTCCTCTTTTTGGTCATTGTCATCATCTTCATCCCTCTGCTGAAAAAAAATCCAAACAACTGGTCATTGCAACTTCATCATGTCATTTTATTAAATACATTTGTCATTTTGGTATTTCTGTTGATTGACAGCTGGAAACCTCTGTGTACCTGGCGTTGGGGAACCTTGTCTGCTGCCTCCTCTTTCTCTCTTGTTGGCTCCCCCTCTTTCTCTCTGCTCTCCTCTTCCTCCTCTTCCCCCTCACTGTCCAGCTCCAGTGGCCTTGCATGTCTTCGCCTCAGAGCTGGAATACTTCCAGTTTTTGGGGACCTGTCCAATGTGTGATTCGCTATATTATTATCCAGCTCTGAGGGGGAAAGAGAAAGAAAGCGTGCTAAGCATTCACAATATTCTCATTTGAAAACCAATTGAAATCGTACTGGGGAATGAATATGTTGCCTTGTCCTGGTGCACAGCACTAACCAGCACTCTCATGCGCATCATTAACAGGTGTGTAGGGACACTTTCTTTTGGGGTCCTCTGAGGCAGTTCGATCGTCGGGCTCTTTCTTCTTTACCTACACATGAACACAAGTCACGATCATCATGATAATCACCCCCACAGACACAGTCACACTGTACCTTGTTTGAGCTCCTTCATGGTAGCAGCAGTAGCCTACCTTGAAGGAAGGGAGGTTGGTGGCACCACGCTGGCCAATGTTCTGTCTTAGGGAGTCTCTTGGTTTGGTCCTCACCTCCACTCCACCCTCTATGGCTCTCACAAGAGTTACAGCAGTCTGACAAATGACGAAATGAAGAAGCATTATAAACATTATAGCAACAAACCACAAGAATCAAAACAGATATTTTGCTGTGGTGTAGAAGAGTTATGTATCTTCAACTATACTGGACTTCAACTATGTAGTAGCTCACCTTAGCTTTCTGCTCCTGGCCATCCCACCACTCATCAAACGCCCTGAAGGCTACCCCCTCAACCAATTTACGGTTGATGTCTCTCTTCACGATGGACTTCAGCTCCTCCGTAATGACTGCCAGCACCTTTTCCACTGTGGCCTTATGAGAGTCCTCCTGCAGAGGCAGGTAGCCTGGCGGGGGCACAGAGGGGTTGAAGGTGGGCATGAAGGGAGGCAGGGGCCAGGGTTGCCCAGCAAACGACACTGGCACACTACCACACCCGGGCAGACCATTCACCTTGTCCATATGCACAGTGTGCAGCGTATTCAAGGGATATGGGTAAACTGGATGTACGATAGAGGGAGGGGCTGCCATAGTTGGAGGAGGCCCAAAGACAGTGAGAGGAGGAGGAATGTGTTGAGGAAGCAGAGGGAATCCTGGAGGTGGGATTGGAATAGAAAGAGGAGCTGGAATGGGAGGGATGGAAGGGGGGATTTGAGGGTGAGGGTTGGAGGGAGAGAATTGAATGGGGAGGTTGGAGTGAGTGATTGGAGGGGGACGATTGGAAGAGAGAACTGAAGAGTGAAGATTGGAGGGAGGGATTGGAGCAGGGTGATTGAGAGAGGAGATTGGAAGAGGCTGTCGCAAGGAGGGAATGGAGGAGTTGACTGTGATGCTCTTGGAACAATGGCTTTTGGGATTCGACATTCCAGATCGCCCCGCATTTGAGATGTCCTTGTCTTCCCCTGGCAAATGGAGACCCTGTGAAAGAAATGTAAAATGAATAGATTGTAACCCCCCCCCCCCCCCACCCCCCACCCCCCAATGTGCAATGCAAGAAATCTGTCCCTAATTCTTTATCTATGATGTTGCTGGTAAACGTGTGAAACATATCAATGTGTTCATCCTCTGCATTTTCTCCAATACCTGAGGAAATGATAAGGAATGGAGTCCCCGTCCCATATACTTTTCACCAGAGGTTGTCTGATCTGCATGGTCCAACTCTGTTCCTTTACTTCTCTCCCTTTGAGTGAGAGAGAGGGTCCCAGGGGGACAGGGGGGCTGTGAGGTCCATATTAGGGAAGGCATCCCTGGAAGGGACTCGTCTCCTTCCCACTCAGGGAGGGGAGTGGGACTGACATCCTCCAGACCATCACTGGTGGTGTGGTGGGTAGAGTTAACGGGAGATCCACTACGGGCTGGGGTGCGGTCAGACTCAGGAGAGTACATCGAGACAGGGGAGAATGGGGAAACAGGGCTGTCCTGAGAGTGCACTTCAGCATCCAAACCCCTTTTACCATGGAGAGGGAGGCAGGAACTCTGAGTCTTCCTGAGCAGCATCTCAATGCGTGAGTCCAGGCTGTGGCTCTCTGCCTCTGGGATGGGGCTTCCAGGAGAGTTATCGGGAGTGGAAGGGGTCGGTTCTGTAATGCCCGCATTGGGCCCAGAAGGGAGAGACTGGGGTCTCTCCTTCAGAGGTACCACGTTCATACTTGTGGCACTGGCAGAGCTGCTGCTCAGAGGGAAAGACTCAGAGGCAGGAGGTAGAGAGGGCACCCTCCAGGACTCCTGTTCAGGAAGGGAGAGGTGGAGGGGAGGCTCTGTGGCAGGGTTATCATCAGCCGAGGGCAGGCGGTTCTGATACCAGAGGAAGGAAGATTTGTAGCTGCTGCCCGCAGCCTGGGTTTGGGGCTGGAGAGGACGGTGAGGTTGGAGGTGTTTGAGGAGAGAGCTCAGCTCTGAGCTCCGATGGTGGGATCTCATATAAGTTCTCCCTGGTTGACGATAGCAGACATCGCGCCTCAAGCGTCTGTGAGTACCGTATGAGGAGTGTTCACCCTGACTGACTTGGTGGACTGGGGTGGTGTGCTGGCTGGAGTAGCAAGAGTCCTGAGAGAGGGGGGTCCCAGACAGGCAGGGGGTGTGAGGGGTGCCCTGAGAGAGGGGTGTCTGCCCAAAGCTGCCCGGTGTGTCCTGCCAGATACTGGAGTAGGCTGTGTCCAGGGAGAAAGGTGTAGCAACGCTGGTGGGACTGGAAATAGACCTTGTCAATGATGAACTCCCATCAGTCAGTTTCTGCAGAGGTTTGCTGTCCTAAAGATGGAGGAGACAAAACAGAATGGCTAAAATGAAGCAATGAAGCATCTCACATCACCTCAGCCGAGTCTACTCACATCACCACAACCAAAAACAACTTCTCTAATGAGCAGTAATAAACATAAGATTGAATTATGTCTGTCGAAGAACTAGAAATGGAACACATTAGAACAGTAGAGCAGTAGAATTATATTACCTGCAATCTCTCAGTTAGGCTATTGAGGGTATGCTCATCACTGCCCAGTGGCAATGTCCAAGGGGTGTAGAGTCCACTAACAAGGAGATGGAAGTACCGCATTCTGTTTTTACCTGAGGAGGATTAGAGTCAGATGGATCACCACCCAAAAGTCAATTGAAAATCATAAATCATAATCTATTATCACATGTATTGACATTAGTTATGTATGTGTAATTATGTATGTGTAATTAAGTGGTCCTCTGTAGCTCAATTGGTAGAGCATGGTGCTTGTAACGCCAGGGTAGTGGGTTCGATCCCCGGGACCACCCATACGTAAAAATGTATGCGCACATGACTGTAAGTCGCTTTGGATAAAAGCGTCTGCTAAATGGCATATTATTATTATTATTATTATTATTATTATTTTCAATTATCATTCTATTATATTAACGTACCTTTTGGATCAAGTTCCACGTGGATAATGTTCCCCATGACAGAGGTGTCATGAAGGTGTTCCACAGTGTCCTTTGCAGCCTTGACTGTGTCGAAGATGACTTTAGCAATTCCTAAATGCTTCTTGTTTTTAGGATTATACAAGATTTCCACTTCCTCAATCTGTCCGTACTTTATGCACATGTCAGTCAAGAAACACTCCCTTACATTGTCATTTAACCTGGCAAATGTCACTTCCTTGGGAGGGCCGACATAGCATTCATCAATCTATAAACATTAATCAGATAACAGATTGTCAGTTGGTAAACAATTATTATTATCCATCTATGATCAGAAATTGCATTTCACATGACTGTCGTCACAGAAAATTAGGTGTTACCTTAAATTTGGGGACCAGCAGGTCAGTGTCTCTGAATTTGGTCCAAATAGGACAGATTCTGGGATCCCGAACAGTATCCACAGGAAATACCCCTAAGTCCTGAACCTGATACAGCATACATCAAGGAGGTAAGAACACTCATGTGGGAACAGAAAAAAAGTGTGTTGTCAAAAGAAAGTTTAGGTCAAGGGCTACAGTATCTGGAACAACATTCAACAAGTAGCCTAAAAATATGAATACAACTACATGTACAAATCAATAATTAAATGTACTCACTGGCATGTTGAAATGTTGCCCATCATAACGATACACTTTATAAAACCCATTATTCAACGCAGGATCTATGATCAACTTGCAGCTCCTCCAGTGCTGAGGATGTTTTTCTCCGTGATTTACCTGATGGTTGTTTTCCATTACATTCACCACACCTGAAAACGTAAACAGTAGGCCTATTGAACATATGGCATATGCAATAGGCTATATTACACGCCATGTTGATAATATTTATATAACAACATGTAAAACAAAAAAAACATTGTTCAATGCGACACGATAAAATGTATAAATGTGATGGTAGACTGGCTACTCGTTAGAGAGATTTATCATCTGGTCCTAGCCATTGAAACACGCCCTGACAGGTGATGGAGAGATGGCGATTCCCCTGTAGCTACCAATATAATGTTATGGTAATTCGTGATGCTTGACATTTTTTGCTAGTTTTGAGCACATTTTTATCGAGCTTTTCTTTTAATCGAGAATATGTTGCAATGTTTTTTTATTTGCAAATTCTCTCTTACCTGCACGGAAAGCTGCCTCCCACGGACCTACATTGTGCACCTGTTGTCATAGCACTTTTTTCCTTCCAGTTTACGGTATTGGGGACTGGGGACGGGAACCCACTTAAGAATCACTCCGCACATTCGATACTTTAAACTGAAGAAAATAATGTTAAGCTTCTGTCAATACAATAGGCCTACATTAAAAGATAAAGGGTATACAGCTATGCTATATGGAAAGTAATAGAACTATGTAGAGTGTAGGATCTAGACGATGAATTGTTGGAGAAAGTACCTAAATCTACAATCATTCATCAGGTGGCCCAAAAAAAAAGAAAGGAAAACAAACACCTGTACATGCCGTGTACAGGTCACCCACCTCAGTTATTGATCACTGTGTTTTATTAGATCATTTTTATTAGATATAAATGATTCGATTATTATTGGATTATACCTACGGTCTATGGATTCTACAAACAAGCACAGTATTCGTACATAAAGGATCTACTATCTGATTGATGTACATCCTTTAGCATTTGATCCACTAGGTGGCATATACATTTAATCTGTTTTGAACGGGTGGAACAGCACCAATTGTAACATACAGCCATAATACTAAAGGGCCTGTTTCCATGACCCATATTAAAGCATTTCAATTGTTTCACTCTCCTGCTAACAGTTGATTTTGTTCTGCAGCTAATGAACAAGGGGTTGTCAGCTTCCTTTGATTATGTCTCTTCTGGCTTTCATGTGTTCCTTGATGAGGCACTGGTAATGTGCCCATTCATTAATAAATGGGTGGGGCAGAGAAAAGGGGAGGCCCTACGTTTCTGTCATGGTAAGTACTCAACCAAGAGGAGCCTCCTTAAAACCACTGGATATTCAGCCCAGGTATATACAAGGTGACAATGGACAGGTAGTCCAGTGCTATTCACTCACTATGTTAAGCTAGTTTTCTCACTCAGGGTTTTTTGTCATTTATTCTTATCTCAAGTGTCTGCGGCCATTATCCAGATAACCAAATCTTCTTCAACAAGAGGAGGCTCTTTTGCCACATTTTCATCTAGCTTCTCAGAGAGAGCCATGCCACAGAACGTGTCAGGGGTGAGCAGAGGGCATACCAGGCGGCGAGAGGGGTTGAAGGTTGTGATAGTAGGTGATGGTGGATGTGGGAAAACCTCCCTCCTCATGGTTTACACTAAAAAAGGCTTTCCAGAGGTAAGACAACTGACAAAGCCAGCTCATCATCTGGCTGCTTCTCTTCTCTTTTTACACTTGCTTTAAGGGAAAAGTGTATATATTTTCATTCGTTTTTCAGCACTATTATTACTCTGCATGCAGACAAATTATAGTATATAATTTGTACATTTTTAGCTATCATATCTGAAATAAAAAATGTTAGATACAGGACTTGAAATAGAACTACATTTTTGTCTATACATTTCAGAAATATGTTCCCTCTGTGTTTGAAAAATGTGTCGCCAACGTGAGGTACAAAGGGGCTGAGTTTCGCCTGAACCTCTACGATACTGCAGGTAAGGTCTTGTATACCCATGCTTTTGAAAGCACCAGTGCACTTACACCTGGCTAAACAGTCTTTAATGGGCGTGTTGTGCTATTATTAAGTAGTCAAAGATATCTTAGAAATGCAATAACAAACACCCTCTGGTTGCTAAATAATCTTAATAATTTACTATAGGCCTAAGTGAAATTCAGGAGAGAGTTATAAACATTTATATTTTAAAGAAAGATAGAGGTATAACCGATTTAGGAATAACAGAGAAGACTGCCATTGATTTAAGTAGCCAATGTCTTAAGAGAGTGATTTTTTGCTGTGCGATTATTTTCAAGGCAGACTAATAATGCACATCCATCTGTTTCTGTGTATTTCTGTGCATTTCAGGTCAAGAGGACTATGACTGATTACGGCCTCTGTCCTAACCGAGTGCCAACCTGGTGTTGATCTGACAATGTCCTAATAAAGGTACTGCACTGTCTTCTCTTCATACTTTACTGCTCGTTTGTCTGTTTAAATCCACAGAATGAGGAAGAAACATTATCAACATACATGCCATATAAAGTTTTATGACATTTACAACAGATTTAATATCGCTGAAGACAGGTGACAATGTCAGCTGAGTATCAGAAAGATATTTGAATACTTGCTCAAGCAAGTATTTATCAGGTTCATGGTCAATTATTTTTGCACAGTAGATGCAGTCACTCTCACAAGAATGCATGACGTAGAATGTTTAGAATATCTAACTCTGTTTACATATATTTCAGTGGTACCCTGAGGTGCATCACTTCTGCCATGGCGTGCCCATTATCCTGGTAGGATGCAAAACAGACCTGCGGAAAGACAAGGCCTTGGCAAGGAAACTGTGGTCTTCAGGCCAGAACCCCATCACATACATCCAGGTAGAGATTTCATGCATAGCCAAACAGTATGTATGTACAGTACCAGTCAAAAGTTTGGACACACCTACTCATTCCAGGGTTTTTCTTTATTTTTTAAACTATTTTCTACATTGTAGAATAATACTGAAGACATCAAAACTATGAAATAACACATATGGAATCATGGGGGGGGGGGGGGGGGTATACAGAAGGTAGCCCTATTTGGTAAAATACCAAGTCCATATTATGGCAAAAACAGCTCAAATAAGCAAAGACAAACAACAGTCCATCATTACTTTAAGACATGAAGGTCAGTCAATACGGAACATTTCAAGAACTTTTAAAGTTTTTTCAAGTGCAGTCGGCAAAAACCATCAAGCGCTATGATGAAACTGTCTCTCATGAGGACCGCGACAAGAATGGAAGACCCAGAGTTAACTCTGCTGCAGAGGATAAGTTCATTAGAGTTACCAGCCTCAGAAATTGCAGCCCAAATAAATGCTTCACAGAGTTCAAGTAACAGACACATCTCAACATCAACTGTTCAGAGGAGACTGTGTAAATCAGGCCTTCATGGTCGAATTGCTGCAAAGAAAACACTACTAAAGGACACCAATAAGAAGAAGAGACCTGCTTGGGCCAAGAAACACGAGCAATGGACATTAGACCGGTGGAGATATGTCCTTTGGTCTGGAGCCCAAATTGGAGATTTTTGGTTCCAACCGCTGTGTCTTTGTGAGACGTGGTGTGGGTGAACGGATGATCTCCGCATATGTATTTCCCAAAAGCATGGAGGAGGAGGTGTTATGGTGTGGGGGTGCTTTGCTAGTGACACTCTCCATAATTTATTTAGAATTCAAGGCACACTTAACCAGCATGGCTACCACAGCATTCTATAGCGATACGCCATCCCATCTGGTTTGGGCTTAGTGGGACTATAATTTGTTTTTCAACAGGACAATGACCTAACACACATCCAGGCTGTGTAAGGGCTATTTTACCAAGAAGGATGGAGTGCTGCATCAGATGACCTGGCCTCCACAATCCGCCGACCTCAACCCAATTGAGATGGTTTGGGATGAGTCGGACCGCAGAGTGAAGGAAAAGCAGCCAACAAGTGCTCAGCATATGTGGGAACTCCTTCAAGACTGTTGGAAAAGCATTCCAGGTGAAACTGGTTGAGAGAATGCCAAGAGTGTGCAAAGCTGTCATCAAGGCAAAGGGTGGCTATTTGAAGAATCTCAAATATAAAATATATTTTGATTTGTTTAACCCTTTTTTCGTTACTACATGATTCCATATGTGTTATTTCATAGTTGTGATGTCTTCACTATTATTCTACGATGTAAAAAATAGTAAAAATTAAGAAAAACACTTGAATGAGTAGGTGTGTCCAAACTTTTGACTGGTAGTGAATGTATAACTTAGAAACAATGCCTTCGGAAAGTATTCAGACCCCTTGACTTTTTCCAAATGTTGTTATGTTACAGCCTTATTCTAAAATGGATTAAATAAAACAAATTCCTCAGCAATCTACACACAATACCCCATAATGACAAAGCGAAAACTGGTTTATAGAAATTTGTGCACATTTACTAAAAATATAAAAAACTAAAATACCTTATTTACGTAAATATACAGACCCTTTGTTATGAGACTCGAAGTTGAGCTCAGGTGCATCCTGTTTCCATTGATCATCCTTGAGATGTTTCTACAACTTGATTGGAGTCCACCTGTGGTAAATTCAATTGATTGGACATTATTTGGAAAGGCACACACCTGTCTATATAAGGTCCCACAGTTGACAGTGCATGTCAGAGCAAAAACCAAGCCATGAGGTCGAAGGAATTGTCCTTGGAGATCCGAGACAGGATTGTGTTGAGGCACAGATCTGGAGAAGGGTACCAAAAAATGTCTGCAGCATTGAAGGTCCCCAAGAACACAGTGGCCTCCATCATCTAGAGCTGGCCGCCCGGCCAAATTGAGCAATCGGGGGAGAAGGGCCTTGGTCAGGGAGGTGACCAAGAACCCGATGGTCACTCTGACAGAGCTCTAGAGTTCCTCTGTGGAGATGGGATAACCTTCCAGAAGGACAACCATCTCTGCAGCACTCCACCAATCAGGCCTTTATGGTAGAGTGGCCAGACGGAAGCCACATCTCAGTAAAAGGCACATGACAGCCTGCTTGGAGTTTGCCGAAAGGCACCTAAAGACTCTCAGACCATGAGAAACAAGATTCTCTGGTCTGATGAAACCAAGATTGAACTCCTTGGTCTGAATGCCAAGCATTACATTTACATTTACATTTTAGTCATTTAGCAGACGCTCTTATCCAGAGCGACTTACAGTTAGTGAGTGCATACATATTTTTATTTATTTTTTCATACTGGCCCCCCATGGGAATCGAACCCACAACCCTGGCGTTGCAAACACCATGCTCTACCAACTGAGCTACATCCCTGCTGGCCATTCCCTCCCCTACCCTGGACGACGCTGGGCCAATTGTGCGCCGCCCCATGGGTCTCCCGGTCACGGCCAGCTACGACAGAGCCTGGATTCGAACCAGGATCTCTAGTGGCACAGCTAGCACTGCGATGCAGTGCCTTAGACCACTGCGCCACTCGGGAGATATTACGTCTGGAGGAAACCTGGCACCATCCCTACAGTGAAGCATGGTGGTGGCAGCATCAGGCTTTGGGGATGTTTTTCAGCGGCAGGGACTGGGACACTAGTCAGGATTGAGGCAAAGATTAACGGAGCAAAGTACAGAGAGATCCTTGATGAAAACCTGCTCCAGAGTGCTCAGGACCTCCGACTAGGGCGAAGGTTCACCTTCCAACAGGACAACGACCCTAAGCACACAACCAAGACAACGCAGGAGTGGCTTCGGGACAAGTCTCTGAATGTCCTTTAGTGGCCCAGCCATTGCCCGGACTTAAACCCGATCGAACATCTCTGGAGAGACCTGAAAGTAGCTGTGCAGCAATGCTCCACATCCAACCTGACAGAGCTTGAGAGGATCTGCAGAGAAGAATGGGAGAAACTCTGACGCTTGTAGCGTCATACCCAAGATGACTCAATGCTGTAATCGCTGCCAAAGGTGCTTCAACAAAGTACTGAGTAAAGGGTCTGAATACTTATGTAAATGTAATATTTCAGGGTTTTATTAAAAAATGTGCAAACATTTCTACAAACCTGTTTTTGCTTTGTCATTATGGTGTATTATGTGTAGATTGGAAAAAAAATGTCTTAATCAATATTAGAATAAGGCTGTAATGTAACAAAATGTGGAAAAAGTCAAGGGGTCTGAATACTTTCTGAAGGCACTGTACGTACATTGAATGTATATCTGCCATGCCACTTACTGTACATAATAATAAGTAATTAGTATTGGGTTTATTGAAAATGCAATACAAGTGGTTGAATTTGAGTTGTGTGATTGGAATGGGAGACTTTGATCAGAAGTGTTTGATTAAAAACACTTTCAAACGATCAAGAGCATTGATTATATTATGTTAATGACAGTCATGACAATGCGATTCCCCACATTTGTGAGTGATAATCCAATTTCTGAATAACCCTTTCACATGGACTCAATTTATTTATCTGCCATTTTCTTTTTGACAATAGAGCTAGTTCATGTCATGGAGGGAACTTTTATGTCATACAATATTTTCCTGATAACGCATAACAGGAAAGGTTACCTCAGAATAGTAGGACAAGGTAAATGTTTTTTTGGGCCTCTCTCAATTAGGAAGATCACTATATATGATCATCTGAGCAGGGTGAAGAGACCAAAAGGAAGATCAAAGCTGAGCTCTACTTGGAGTGTTCAGCCAAATACAAGGAGAATGTGGAGGACATATTCAGAAAGACTACCAAACGAGCCCTTGCAACAACAAGGAAGTCCAGAAAGGCAAAGAGGAGGAATGGATTCTGTGCCCTTCTGTGAGCCAAGAGATAATTCTATCCACCACCATGAGCTCCTGATACAGACAATGCCCTACTCTCAGGGAAAACACAGATGATGACAGACTACTCCTCCCTATGAGTCCTTACAGTATTGTTGCTGCACTTTACCCTTCTGTTAACCAACTTCCTTTGTTGTTCCTTCCTGCTAATTCTTGACATATTGTCAAAATGTGTTTCTTTAAAAGAAATGGACAACGCCCTCAAGTTATAGAACCACAAATGGGGAAATTTGGTCTTAGAAAATTAAGGATGCATGAGGGGGAAGTTGAAGGTACCATTGTATAATAATTGAAGGCACCATTGTATTTTTCATTTTGATGCATCCAATCTTTTAATTTATATAAAAAAGAAGGTTCACTCAAACAGTAATTCATAAAATATATATATATATATATATATATATATATATATATATATATACACGTTAATATGAATAAATGAAGCAACATAAATCTGGATTAGCTTGTAGAATTCGTTCTTTGGTAAGCCATGGATTGTTACGCATAATAACAATTGAACATTGACTCCAGTCCTTCCAATGACAATGAATGAAATATGACATACAAAATATGTATAATGTATTTCATAATATGTATAATGGGGAGACTCACCACATTGTAACAGATTTACAGTATACGACTATGAAACTATTCAACCTCTTGGATTTGGCACCAGACACAAGGTAGTATATTCATAGATTAAACATAATTGTGTGTGGTTTAGTAAGCCCCAGGCACTCAAACACAACATCTTAAAAACATAAAATGGCATTTAAAGGGGATGTTTTAAAAAAGGCATAAACCATCATACAGTATACTGACGCATAAATAATAAAAACAGCAAATAATAATATGCCATTATTTGATTAAAGTAATATGTGCACTTGGATCACATTCAAAGGTTGACGATAAAGATCTGAAGTTTTGCCTCCATTGAAATTAATTTAGAAGCAGCTACTTGTGACTTCACATAAACGCAAAACAATCAGTGCTTTACAGTATTGTTAAGGGAAGTACATTATGTTGAGGACAATATTTCAGCGTGACATACAGTGAGGGAAAAAAGTATTTGATCCCCTGCTGATTTTGTACGTTTGCCCACTGACAAAGAAATTATCAGTCTATAATTTTAATGGTAGGTTTATTTGAACAGTGAGAGACAGAATAACAACAAAAAAATCCAGAAAAACACATGTAAAAAATGTTATAAATTGATTTGCATTTTATTGAGGGAAATAAGTATTTGACCCCCTCTCAATCAGAAAGATGTCTGGCTCCCAGGTGTCTTTTATACAGGTAACGAGCTGAGATTAGGAGCACACTCTTAAAGGGAGTGCTCCTAATCTCAGTTTGTTACCTGTATAAAATAAACCTGTCCACAGAAGCAATCAATCAATCAGATTCCAAACTCTCCACCATGGCCAAGACCAAAGAGCTCTCCAAGGATGTCAGGGACAAGATTGTAGACCTACACAAGGCTGGAATGGGCTACAAGACCATCGCCAAGCAGCTTGGTGAGAAGGTGACAACAGTTGGTGCGATTATTCGCAAATGGAAGAAACACAAAATAACTGTCAATCTCCCTCGGCCTGGGGCTCAATGCAAGATCTCACCTCGTGGAGTTGCAATGATCATGAGAATGGTGAGGAATCAGCCCAGAACTACACGGGAGGATCTTGTCAATGATCTCAAGGCAGCTGGGACCATAGTCACCAAGAAAACAATTGGTAACACACTACGCCGTGAAGGACTGAAATCCTGCAGCGCCCGCAAGGTCCCCCTGCTCAAGAAAGCACATATACAGGCCTGTCTGAAGTTTGCCAATGAACATCTGAATGATTCAGAGGAGAACTGTGTGAAAGTGTTGTGGTCAGATGAGACCAAAATCGAGCTCTTTGGCATCAACTCAACTCGTCGTGTTTGGAGGAGGAGGAATGCTGCCTATGACCCCAAGAACACCATCCCCACCGTCAAACATAGAGGTGGAAACATTATGCTTTGGGGGTGTTTTTCTGCTAAGGGGACAGGACAACTTCACCGCATCAAAGGGACGATGGACGGGGCCATGTACTGTCAAATGTTGGGTGAGAACCTCCTTCCCTCAGCCAGGGCATTGACAATAGGTCGTGGATTGGTATTCCAGCATGACAATGACCCAAAACGCACGGCCAAGGCAACAAAGGAGTGGCTCAAGATGAAGCACATTAAGGTCCTGGAGTGGCCTAGCCAGTCTCCAGACCTTAATCCCATAGAAAATCTGTGGAGGGAGCTGAAGGTTTGAGTTCCCAAACGTCAGCCTCGAAACCTTAATGACTTGGAGAAGATCTGCAAAGAGGAGTGGGACAAAATCCCTCCTGAGATGTGTGCAAACCTGGTGGCCAACTACAAGAAACGTCTGACCTCTGTGATTGCCAACAAGGGTTTTGCCACCAAGTACTAAGTCATGTTTTGCAGAGGGGTCAAATACTTATTTCCCTCATTAAAATGCAAATCAATTTATAACATTTTTGACATGCGTTTTTCTGGATTTTTTTGTTGTTATTCTGTCTCTCACTGTTCAAATAAACCTACCATTAAAATTATAGACTGATCATGTCTTTGTCAGTGGGTAAACATACAAATCAGCAGGGGATCAAATACTTTTTTCCCCTCACTGTATCTCAACCACAGTATAATAGTTAATCTATCATGTACCAACAGTATGATGAGTGTGCTTAAAATGCATTAACTTATCAAAAAACCATCAGAGCATATCTTTAATTATCAATTATGTGGAGTTTAAAAAGTTTAAATATAAATATTCCAACCCTGATGGACAGATTAAGGTCACCTGACAAAAAATATCTGAATTCTGCACTTCCCTTGCACCAAAACTATTACAGCAGTTAATGCATGTTACGCTCTCCTGGGGAGTTTTACTTTCATGGAAATTGGTCGGTTATCGTTTGTAAATTAATAATTCTAGCTACTTCACAAAATGTTATCTTATGTTCATCCCACACTTTTGGTGTTCCCCAGCCGCCATAGACAAAACATAGTGTAGTTATGTGCATGTGATATGAATACAAATATAATCTATGTAATGAAGATATCCCAAAATATTAAACTACAGATTTTACACAGGTGCTCACTCACGTTCAGCTATTCAGATCTATTTCTGAAGACATAAGGAAGACAATAGACATGCAGCACATAAAAAAAAAAAAGAGTGGCTTGAGTCCAATCGAATTAGCAATACAAAGCAAATTCTCCTGACCTCTCAACAACCATTTAAGCAAATAGAAAAAGCCTAGAGCAGAGTCCAAATCCCAATACAAAACATCTGTAGAAATGATATATTACTATATAAAGTATCCTTTCTCAGGGTGCTCATGCAAATAGACAAAAAAATATATAGATATCATTATAGATTTCTTACAGCTGTCTACTGCTCTATTCTCCCTACTCGTGTGTATGTTCCCGTTAGGGGAAGTGGACAGAGGAGGGCTGCAGACTGGTCGTCTCTGCCCTGTGGTCCAGCTGGTTCTGCAGCCGGGTGATATTTGACAGCTCCTCCAGCTCCTGAAACTGACGGTCAGTTTTGTGACTGACCAGAGAGCGGTAGAAGTGCACAGCGAACACGATGAACACTAGTCCAAATGGCACCATGATGGAGGTGGAGGCAATGGCTGCCGCCTCACCAGAACTGATGGTGCCATTATCACTGGGGCGCCTGAGGGGCAGGAACTTGACCCAGCACAGCAGAACCACCTCGGTCAGGAAGAGCAGGGTGCCGATGACAGTGGAGAAGGCCCAGGCCAGCTCAATGTGGTGGTGCATGCGCTCATGGGGTGACTCGTTGACCGAGTTCAAGTTGTGAACGTTGCTGACGGCCTCCAGGTTTGGCAGGATGCAGGTGCTGATCATCAGGGCGAAGAGGTGCACTGCCACTAGGACAGTGGTGCAGGCGCTGAAGGCTATCAGCAGCCCTGGGGGATACACATGATCTGGCTCCAGCTGCACCTCTACCATAGCCACCTGAAATACAGAGACGCATTTTAACACGAAACACTGACCGAGAGAGCAACGAGCAGGATTTGATTCAGAACAATTTGAACAGAGACGATCTCATTTATAGCTCAACCACTGCATGTGACAATTCTATATTTTTTCTCTGTTGGGTGCAGGCTGCACAGGAAGATGTAGCCTAACCCCTGTGACCAGGTGACAACTGTACTGGGTCTAACTGTCTGTTGGGTGAGTGACTGTCAGATTAAATGTTATTGGCTTGTATGGAACAGTAGGATTTGCTGCAGTTTATTTGTGGTAGGTTAAGGTTTAGATATGAGTCTGACTCACTAATGCCATTTTTACTTTGCATCTGGCCTTGCATAGTGGTTTAAACTTGCAGAGACATTTAAATGCATTCAACTATGCTCCATCCGTGGCCGTGGGTATGCAAATCTATGCATACTCTGTGTTGTGTTGTGCTTAAGAACAGCCCTTAGCTGACCTCGATTGGCCATAAACCACACCTCCTCGGGCCTTATTGTTTAAATATACCACACTTCATCAGGCCTAATGCTGCGTTCATAACCAAGTGGGAAGGTGGTATTTACCACATATGACTGGGAAAAATCCACTTGAAAAAACTAGATAAAATCATGACGTCAGTGATCGTCAGGTCAGCGCTCTAGAAAGATGCCTGAGTTTCCGACTTGAATTCCGAGTTGGATGACCGTTCAAATAGATTTTTCTCAGTCTGAGCTAGTTTTTTCCAGAGTTCCCAGTTGTCTTGAACGCACTGTAGTCGGAGATTTAAGAGTTCCCAGTTGTTTTGAAAGCGGCATCATCCCTGAGCTCCGACTTCTCCCACATGCTGACCTCTGACTTCCCCTACTAAGGGAATGACCTCGATAACATTTTCGACAGTTAAATGTAACAACAAAACATTATTTATAAAAAGTAATCTACTAATATGGTTTTTGAACACTATATTTTGTTTACAGACATGATAGCTGTGAGCCTACTTTTAGTTTATGGTTGATACAGCTTGTTGCCCATTACATTAGCCAATCGGCGTTTCTCAACGAGTTCAAAGCGCTTGAATTTGTATTTACGACTTCACAACTGGTAATTACTACCTTCCCACTTGATTACGAACGCTACGTTATTAGACAGTCAAATAGGCCGGTAGGTCTCATGTGTCAAGAAATTGTGCGTCATATCACTCAATTTTGGCAAAGTTGTCAGAATCCGCTCCAATCGCTGAGTTGTACTCACCATTGCGAAACCCGACAGGAGAGCTGAAGTTCTGCTCGTAGCCTTTAGCTTTGCTCGACTCAAGTAAAGTTTTCTCCATGACAGAGCTTGCAAAGAGTGTTCGTTCAAACTCATTGCTGGCTACCGTTCTAACTTGTATAACTTTTCAAGCAGTCAACCTGTAGTTTCTACACGAGATGCGGACTCATGCGAATTGACATACAATTATACTTTTAAACTAGAGATTTGTAAAACAAAAAACGTTATTTCTAAAAACGTTAACCTTCTGCTACTGTAGCCATAACTAATTCAGGAAACACAATATATTATCTTACCCACAATCCAATGCTGTTTCTGTGTGCGGCGCTGCTTGAGAGGGCACTGCTTGCGGTAGTAGTAGTGCACCTATGAACATTCCTGTGTTTTTCCTCTGTGGGTGCACGTTTGAATAGGCCACATCAGCTTCGCCTAAAAAATGCAAACAATGTGTTGAATACCGTGGGGTGATTATATTTATTTGTGTGCGTCCATAGCCTATAGAATTGCACAAATGCTACCATACTTTTTCACTTGCATTTCAGCCATAGAAGACTGACAATATTCTAGTACCAGAATTCCATCTGCAATAATTCGATGCATCTGTGACATTGGACGTGATGGTAAACTATCTCTATATGTGATGTTGGCTTGGTAGTATTCATTAAACGTTTTTATGAATTAATTATCAAAATACTGATTTGATGGGAGACATGCTATTGAGCAGCCATCTTTGACTGCCACCTAGTGGAGGCCATAGGATATTATGACAAATCAATGAAGCCCTGAGAATGAAGGCCTAGAAATGATTTTGTTGGCGAGTGCTTTTTGTCAATTATTTTCATGATTGACTTCTTTATTGTTCTCCCTTTCGAACTATTTGGTTAACATTTTCTACTAGTACAATAATTGTTTCCCTTTTTATTGCTCTGATTTTATGTGCGTTGGGTCTCAATAATACTTGTCTCTTCCCTCACACACAGGTGCTGCTAGCTTTGAGAGTATCTGCACTGTGAAATTTAATTGGTTTTGGGAGCAGGTTTCTGCACCGACTGCACTGACCAAGTATTAAAGACAAGGTAGGTGAGCACACAATCATGTACCAAGCCCCTGATGTCAGAGAGAACAAGGCCCAGCTAGGCATGTAGAACAATCTAATCATAGCTGTTAATGCCAGTTATTGGGGGCAGGTTAAAGAAGGAGAGACATGGATTGTGTATGTGCGCCATTCAGAGGGTGAATGGACAAGAAAAAAAATGTAAGTGCCTTTGAACGAGGTATGAACTGAAACGCTGCTGGGTTTTTCCATGCTCATATATGCAACGCCATATTAGGAACGCAATAAATAGAAACTACTCAGTGTAGTTTCTATTTAGTGGGATACTTAGTGTGATGGGGGGATTTTGGGAAGGCGTGTGCAGCTGTCTCTTTATCCATCATATTTTAGTCGAACAATTGTATTAGAATATCCTGCTATTTAATCTGTTCATATGCACAGATGCAAGAATTTCACAAAATGTTAACAAGCACAAATAAGGTTCTGGGCATTATTAGATCAGACTTAAACAGTATAATGATGGTGATGATGACACTTGTTAAATTGGTAATACTTGTGCAGCAATTAGATGTAATTCTTCCAATGAAAGCACTCAATAATGTCCTAGATGAGTACTTTAGTTGCTGGCTATTAATTATTTCTGCCTTGAACTACCAAGAAATCACGAGATAGGTATTTTGTCCTCTGACTATCTGTAGACATTAAGGGCAGAGCAATCAAACCCAGAGCAGCTGATGGCTTCCTGTGTCTGTCGCAGGTTAGCGTTTTTCTTCATGAATCTTGTTCTGGAGGCAGCTCTGCAGAGTGGTCACTAGCTGGCACAGACACAGTCATAACATCTGATTTTTAAACCTAACCTTAACCACACTGCTAACCCTAATGCCTAACATTAAATTAAGACCAAAAAGCAAATGTTTAGTTTTCATGAATTTTTACAGTATAGCCAATTTTGGCCTAAGGGGAAATCGCTAAATTCTGCCTACAGGACAAGACTCATGACAATAACTGACTGTAGTAAAGTGAAATATGTCCTAAATCATTATGAAAAATGTTTGCGTCATAACATGCCCCCCCCCCCCCCCCCCATTCCCAAGGAGCCAGATGTCTTCCCCTTGCCCGTCTTCTCTAATGACACTGTCTGTACTATTCCTGACCATTCCCTCCCTACCACTCTCCAGTCCCACCCTCTCTGACTCTGGGTGCCCTTTGTAAGCAACCCTGTAAGCAAATGCCATCTGCCTCTCCATTGGCTTTGCCTGCCCCCTCTCTCTCCTGACCTTCCCTGTGCATATTCATGAGACTTCCTGTCGCCTTGTGTGTGCCTGTACAGCTGCTTGTTCCTGAGCTGTGTGTGGAGAGCGAGCGAGAGAGAGAGGGAGGGAGAGAGTCAGGGAGAGGGTGACGACAGAGTGAGCAGGGAACAGCAGCAGGGCTGGAGGCTTCAGCCATGTCAGTTTTCTCTACAACACTGGACAGACGATGAGAAGAGAGGAACCATGGCCTTGTCACTGAGTGCAGACGAAGAGGATTATGATTCAGAATCTGAACAGGTCAGAGAACAGAATGTTAACACCGACCACGTTGGGTTTCTAATCTGCATGCTGTTTTGTCTTTCTCAAGGGGGGGGGCTTTAGACCAGTAATCCTGTGAGTAGAATGTATTTTCTCTCCCCACCTTCTATCTCTTTATTTTCTCTATCTCCACTCACTCGGCACCATAAGCAGGAATAGGGTAATCATTTGAATAGGGAATGGATGGAGAAGGGAAACATGGTTTGTTGTTTCAGTAAGAGAACTAATCCACTGTGCAAGAGATAGCTATTTAAGAGGTCATAGAGACACCTTCTCCTGTCCCTGGCTCATGTTGTTGTATCCAGACGACCTATCTCAGACCCTAGCAAGAAAAGAATGAGCTGCTCACCAAAGTAGTTATTTCATCCCCATAATTGCTTGGCTTTAAATGTGATCCAGTATGAAAATGTATGCACTCACTAACTGTAAGTCGCTCTGGATAAGAGTGTCTGCTAAATGACTAAACATTTAAATAAAATCCAGAATCCTCTCACCTTTGGAACAAACCTTTCTCAACAAAAACCCTGAAGAAGACACATTGCCCCTCTCTGTTGCCTACTAGCTATTTGTCACACACTGAGCTGTCAGATTGTGTTCTTGGTCAAGTTACTGTGATCATGGAAAGGGATTGGTCATTGTGACTGGTATTTTTGTGTGAACAGTCAGGGTGTGGGAGAGTAGTGTAGGAGGCAGCATGACTATACATGTGAGGCCTTTCACTACACTTCACCTGAGGCTCAGTGTTGACTGTTTCTAAAACTAAAGTAAATAGATTACGCTAAATCAGGCCATGCCTGATGTAGCACCATTGTCACATTCAGGTCTAGCTCTCTTGACAGACATACTTATTCCTTCCATGTCTAACTATCTGGATCACTGAGAAAGAAAACTCATATCCTGTGAATTGTCCTTCATTGCTCATACTCACACCTCACCATGCTCTGTGCCTTTAAGAGGGCTGGAGGCAATGTTGTTTCGCAGGAACTGAACTGAACTGGGGAGGGGGATGGGGAGAGGGAACAATGAGCTGCTCTTACAGCGATTGACCGCTCTTAACTGTTTGGAGACTTTTCGTTGTAGGTTACCTTACAATAGTGCTGAGCTATTAACCGACATGTCGTTTTTTTTCGGTTATTAAACAACAGATTGACCGACATTGGTTAAATTACTTTAAACCCATTTAGGTCGGTTTTTTGTGAGCCCATTGCGCCGTTTCTCAAGGGAAATAAAATCCTTTAAGAGTGAAATCAAGTCAAGAACTATGCGGGACGCTGGGCTGAAGGGAGTTGTAGTGTTCATGAAGCAAATATTCAACGTGGTAATTAACTAGGTTTCCATCCAATTTGCGACATATTTTCATGAAAATATTCGAAAATCTGCATAAAACAATATGCACATTTTACCACCAGAGATGTTTCAATCAAACTGACTTTTTGCGGATAAAAGGCTCGGCGTCATGACGTAGCGCACATAAACATTACTTTTACCATTAGAATGAAACAGTTAAATGGGTTTCCATCGCATTTTCAACTCTACTGATGGTTTTGTATCAACTGTTGTTATATAGTAAATGTGACCACTCTGGTCATGGCACATGCGCTCTAGCCAACAGCTCGCAGATATAACCTACGTTATGAGATTATTATGGATAAGAGCGCTATTATTTGTATTTGTCAAACGGCAGCCAAGCATCGATCATCATGTCACCAGAATAAGACCCTCGATATTTATTGGAAAGGAACATCAAGATCGTCACCTTGCACATTCACCACCCTGTGAAGTTCATAATGTATAGACCCCTTTCTGTGTTTACAAACATTGCCACACGAGGGCAATCCGCGCGAGTTGGTGGCAGAACAAGGGGGAGTTCTAGAACGCCAGCAAAAATAGCCTCTCTTTACATGTTGTTTATGAGTGCATTTCACACAACTTTTGGATTATAATTTGATTGTAAGGCTCATATAAATGTCCTGCTTAAAATAATGTTTGTCATCATCGCAAATCAACTGCGTTATACTTTAAAAACACTTCAACTTCAACCACTAAAATGGCTCTTTGGCTAGCTTTTGCTACAGCCTATATCAATGAGCGTTAGCATTCTAGCTAACAACTGCTGCATCCAAATAGTTATTTTGCAAAGATCACAACCAAATATAATATTAGCGAATGTTCAATCAAGAACCATAACATAATTGTAACGGTATGAGAACCCCAACAAGTTATTCTGTTTAGAAGTAATAAAAACGTAAATGTTGAATGGGCGCAGATGGCGATAGCTTTCTTACTGCCGCTGGAAAAGGGTATATTCCAGCTGTAGCCTAATAAACTGCATGCTTTCCCAAGTCGTAGTGGGAGGACCACACAACATATTTACATTTACGTCATTTAGCAGACGCTCTTATCCAGAGCAACTTACATTATTTTTTATACCCCCGTGGGAATCGAACCCACAACCCTGGCGTTGCAAACGCCATGCCCTACCAACTGAGCTACATCCCTGCCGGCCATTCCCTCCCCTACCCTAGACGACGCTGGGCCAATTGTGCGCCGCCCCTGGATTCGAACCAGGATCTCTAGTGGCACAGCTAGCACTGCGATGCAGTGCCTTAGACCACTGCGCCACTCGGGAGTGACTCCAAGTTTACTTAGATATGATGGTTATTATATCAATATTTGTGCATAAAGGCGTTTCACCGATATTTCTCAGTATCGGATACACTTTTAAGCCTGCTACGTTAGGTTAGATAAACACAGACCGCATAGACCTTGAGAGAGGAATGTACACAACACAACGATGAGAGGCACATAGACATTTCGTGAAAGTATGCCTTATCTACTTTGAAGAACTAGTCAAATGATTTCGTCAGACATCTCTGCAGTTCGAAATTTACTGGTGGGGGCTGGTCCCTCCCCTTGTACTGTAAAAAACACTGCATACCCTCCGCCCTCAGAATTAACTCAAAATAATGTTTACGACCACAAATAACGATAGCGACCCTGTGTTTATAAATATGGATATCGACTTTGCCACTTCAGCATGCTCTTGTGGCACAGTTGATGCCATGCAGGGTTATGGGCCAGAAGGTACCACCACCACGGACAAGCTCACTTACTCTGTTTGTTTCATTAGGCCTACACTACGATCAAAACCGGCTGCAGACATTGATCAGCTAGGGGGAAATCAGATTTTCAACATTTTGATGCCATATTTAATTTATAATGATATAAAATATCTGCAACAAATTTTCCCCAACAGGTTTCTGTGCCAATGAGTAGTGAGCCAGTGTATCTATGTATGCAGATGACTCAACACTATACACGTCAGCTACAACAGCGACTGAAATGACTGCAACACTTAACAAAGAGCTGCAGTTAGTTTCAGAATGGGTGGCAAGGAATAAGTTAGTCCTAAATATTTCAAGAACTACAATCATTGTATTTGGGACAAATCATTCACTAAATCTCAACTAAATCTTGTAATGAATAATGTGGAAATTGAGCAAGTTAAGGTGACTAAACTGCTTGGAGTAACCCTGGATTGTAAACTGTCATGGTCAAAACATATTGATACAACAGTAGCTAAGATGGGGAGAAGTCTGTCCATAATAAAGTGCTGCTCTGCCTTCCTAACAACAAGGCAGGTCCTACAGGCCCTAGTTTTGTCACACCTGGATTACTGTTCAGTAGTGTGGTCAGGTGCCACAAAGAGGGATTTAGGAAAATTTCAATTGGCTCAGAACAGGGCAGCACAGCTGGCCCTTAAAAGTACACGGAGAGCTAACATCAATTATATGCATATCAATCTCTCATGGCTCAAAGTGGAGGAGAGATTGACTTCATCACTACTTGTTTTTGTAAGAGGTGTTGACAAGCTGAATGTACTGAGCTGTCTGTTTAAACTATTAGCACACAGCTCGGACACCCATGCATACCCCACAAGACATGCCACCAGAGGCCTCTTCACAATCCCCAAGTCTTGAACAGACTATGGGAGGCACACAGTACTACATGGAACTCTATTCCACATCAGGTAACTGATGCAAGCAGTAGAATCAGATTTTTTTTTAAACAGGTAAAAATACACTTTATGGAACAGCAGGGACTGTGAAGAGACACACACAAAGGTACAGACACGCATATGCACACAAGCGCTTGGCAGCAGCTAATGGGGATCCCTAATAAATACAAATACAAATAAAAAGAACGTCAATCTCGACAAACAGAAAATATATCCCTCCTACCTTGTAGGCCTACCCAGTGTCAAGCCAAACCTTCGATAATCTCTGAATGTCATTCAACTTTTTGGTGTTTTTTAACAGATGTCTCTTTCCATTCATCAAATGGCCGCGCTGCACAGTTTGGATTAATTAGATTTTTATTTGCCAGTAAAAAAAATTGTGCATATACAGTGAGGGGAAAAAAGTATTTGATCCCCTGCTGATTTTGTACGTTTGCCCACTGTCAAAGACATGATCAGTCTATAATTTTAATGGTAGGTTTATTTGAACAGTGAGAGATAGAATTAAAAAAAAAAAATTCCAGAAAAACGGATGTCAAAAATGTTATAAATTGATTTGCATTTTAATGAGGGAAATAAGTATTTGACCCCTCTGCAAAACATGACTTAGTACTTGGTGGCAAAACCCTTGTTGGCAATCAGAGGTCAGACGTTTCTTGTAGTTGGCTACCAGGTTTGCACACATCTCAGGAGGGGTTTTGTCCCACTCCTCTTTGCAGATCTTCTCCAAGTCATTAAGGTTTTGAGGCTGACGTTTGGCAACTCGAACCTTCAGCTCACTCCACAGATTTTCTATGGGATTGAGGTGGAGACTGGCTAGGCCACTCCAGGACCTTCATGTGCTTCTTCTTGAGCCACTCCTTTGTTGCCTTGGCCGTGTGTTTTGGGTCATTGTCATGCTGGAATACCCATCCACGACCCATTTTCAATGCCCTGGCTGAGGGAAGGAGGTTCTCACCCAAGATTTGACGGTACATGGCCCCATCCATCGTCCCTTTGATGCAGTGAAGTTGTCCTGTCCCCTTAGCAGAAAAACACCCCCAAAGCATGTTTCCATCTCCATGTTTGACGGTGGGGATGGTGTTCTTGGGGTCATAGGCAGCATTCCTCCTCCTCCAAACACGGCGAGTTGAGTTGATGCCAAAGAGCTCGATTTTGGTCTCATCTGACCACAACACTTTCACACAGTTCTCCTCTGAATCATTCAGATGTTCATTGGCAAACTTCAGACGGGCCTGTATATGTGCTTTCTTGAGCAGGGGGACCTTGCGGGCACTGCAGGATTTCAGTCCTTCACGGCGTAGTGTGTTACCAATTGTTTTCTTGGTGACTATGGTCCCAGCTGCCTTGAGATCATTGACAAGATCCTTCCGTGTAGTGCATGCTTTCCAGAGTCTTAGTAGGAGGACCACACAACATACCATCACATGACTCCAGGTTTACTTAGATATTATGGTTATTATATCATATTATACAACGGGTGGGTCTAATCCTGAATGCTGATTTGTTAAAACAGCATTCCAGCCGGTGTCTATTCCACAAGTTACCACTGGCTAAATCTATGATGTGAAAATTTACTCTGTTCCATTTGGCTGCGCAATCCACTCTCATCAGCCCAGCCAAGCAATTTATAAACTTGATCTCCACTATAAAAAGCATCTAGACATTCTCACATTTCTTTTAGACTAACATTTTGTTTTCAACAGCGGAGATTTGTATAAACCTTGCTGTCTGTCTCTCCGACATTTGTAACATTGTTTCAATATTCAAATTCGATCTCCAGCTGTCCAATAGTAAAGAACTCGGGAGTCGGGACGAGACAGACAGGCAGGCAGCGTTTCTCAGCCAGTCAAAATCATGAATCAGCTGGCATCATTTTAAAGGATATATACAAATAAATGTCAATTGAAAAAAGGTAAAACGAAACGAAGTGCAGCTAGTTTGCAGTCTTTCCCGCTTCAGTTCGAAGTGATTGTGTTAGCTGTGTTGTTGGCTAGCTCCTCTGAACAACAGAGTCCTGACGAGCGAGCACATTTTCTATGCTAGGCGAAATCACGCCTCATTAGCTCATTGTTATGGATGTATCCAAGTAAATATTGGCACGGTTTGCAAAATGGCTTGACAAAATATAATTCCAGCATCCTCAAAATGGCTTGACATTAACCAAGTTTCCATCCAACCTTTTTATTCGAGTCAAGTACATGTCGGATAAAAAAATGTAATGACAGTCCTGATGGAAACAGCAAATGTCAGTAAACTTTCCAAATGTCGACAAAAGAAAATACGCTAGCAAGGTGGGATCTTGTATTATGTGTGAAATGGCGGTTATTTAAGTGATAATGCCAGAGAAGCCAGTGTTTGGAGGATATATTGGCAAGGGTGTTGCAAACTGTGCCAATATATCCTCCAAACACCGGCTTCTCGAAAAAACACCTTGATATAGGTGAGGCGCATGCAAGCAGATGAGGAAATTTGGCTAGCATGGAAGACCTTATATAGTAAAACCTGCAAAAGAGCGAATGTAAATCAGGGGGAAAAATGCACTACACTCCTGTGCCCAATAAAACACCACCCTCCCCAAAGTTAGACAACTCTGCCCTATTTTGGACCAGCCCTAAATATTTTAATTTCATTATTTCATAATGCATTTAATGTAAAAAATTATAATTGAAAACCGTTATTTATTTTTAAATAATCGAACCAACCTCTAAAAGTACTAATCGCTCAGCACTACCCTACAAGTAGAAAATACCTGGTAGACCAGTGGGATCCAGGACCTTATGAAGGAAGATATAGGATTGGTTCGCTGAGCACTGGGCGGTACATGGCCCCGTCCATCGTCCCTTGCTCTTTCAGCTTGAATAACCAGATGAATGATGTGCTCCTCAGGGGTACGAGTAAGGAAGTGCAACGCATTAAACCCACTCACAGTCATTGTTTATGAAGTGGGTTATTTTGATCTTGTTCTTTTGGCACAGTTGTAGAGATGTCAGACTTCCCTCCCTTTTAGTGTGGGCATCGCTGTGGTGTGCTGTGGTCCACTGAAGACAGGCAGAACGTGAACCCTGTGACTTCCTCCCACAGCACTGAGATCCACAGTAATACTGATCAGATATGGCCCCCATCTCGGCCTAGTGTTTTAGGGCCTCATCAAACCAACCTAACATTCCTAGCACATTAGTCAGCTAAGTTACAGTAAGTGCTGCTAAGCAGTCTGGAACTATTATAGGTCAAGATGCTTTTGTAAACAATCAACACATTTAGTGTTTCATAGGCCTGCTTTTGACTCAGACGACTTTAGTTTTTTAAAAAGACGATACAAATGTCTTAAAGATTGAATTTACGATTATTGAAAGAGGGGCATAGGAGGAGAATAGCCTGGCTGAGTGAGTACCTGTTCCCCTGACTCATGGATGTGTCATCCAGAGAGGATCACTCCTCATGTTTGCCACACTATTTACTGCTTTCTCCTGTAATTCAGTGGTTTCACATAAATGGCAAAGAAGACCATACTCACCCACTTGTTGGTTAAAACAAATAAAAGATAAACAAATTCATGCCCCCTTGGCAGAACAGATATTCGAAGAACGTCACTATTTTCACAACTCACATACACAGAACACTTTGTCAAGCATTCTGTCAGGCTAAAACACTGTTGCACAAATTACTTGAATATTTGGAGTAAGAGGGTATCAGCTACTTTACTCAAGATGAGTTTGTTTGAGAGGAAAATAGGTAATGTAGCACACATGGGTTTCTAGTAGTCCTACATTGATTGCTTTGGGGATTTGTTGTGTTGGATATGATGTTGTAGAGATTTTTGTTAAAAGGTCTCTAAAAAATCTGTTTGAGGAATTTCAACATTTTAAGACAATGACAGGAATGTGCCAATCACACTTGAATGTTGTGCAATGCTGATAGTCATAGCATTTGCAGCCTCAGCCCTCCTTCTGATGTCTTCTTCGTACACCTTTCCACACACTCCTTGGTTGGAACAGATTTATTAGGAAAACCATCAGATTGTAGTCTGTTTCCCAATCCCAGTTGGATGTGGTGTCATCAACAACAGTGTATGCTTGAGAATCTCAGTTTGGATCTGGAAATATGCTTGAGGATGGCCAAAGATGAGACAAAGGTAAAATGTTATTATAACAACTCTCTCTCCAAACCTGAAGAAAAGCTTCCTGGTAAAGAATCTTCTTGTGGTATGTCTCCCCAGTGAAATGTTATTCTGGTATTCATGAAGGAACACTTTGTTCTCAATGACCCTGCTCTAGTGTTTTTCTCTCTCTTTAAGCCCTCTGCAAGAATTCCATCTGCTTTTATAAGATGGAGGTTTGGTCCTTTAGTAGCTATATATGTTCCAGGAGGATGATTATGTAAGGGCTGTGACATGACAGTGTTTCTCAGTGTTGTGGATTAATCCTTAACTGAGGAGCATTGCCAGGTGGTAAGACATGTTTTGTGGACCTGTGTGTGTTGCTGTCTTGTGATTTTGTTTCTTTAATCTCACCACATAAACAGTGTTTTTAGTGCCAGTAAGAATAGCCTCCAGGGGAATGAATAACCCAATCTACAGTATCACATTTAACTCTGTGTTTTTCCAGCATGTCTCCTAGCGCCTGAAGCTATATGTGTACTTTATGGGAAAATAAAGTAACAGTTTTACTTCTGGAAGAGGAGCCATGAAAATGTTCAATTTTAAAACAGTCATAACCCCTCCACTGCCCTCCCATTTAAAGCTAAAGTACAGTATGTCTCTGCTAGTTCTCATCTCCTTTCATTATTCTATTCAAATGGTTAGGAAAAGCAGGGGAACTGTGTTGCCAAGGAAACACTCGCCTCTGCAGCAAAAAATACATTCCTCAGTAATGGCGTAGGGAATATCTCATTTTTATTGTTCTGGTGGCTCTAGGCTCGGCTAAAGAGTATTTGAAATTATTATTTTTACCTGTGAACCTCTAACTATTTGTGGTGTCACGGGGTGGGAGAGAATATTTTTATTTTCTTGGACAGAGGTGGATTTACAGATTTGGCGTTTAGAGAGGTTCGAAAGGTACTGTATGTGGCTCGCAGCCGGTGGCCTCAGTACTGTTTCACTAGCTTTATAAACGTCAGGAGTAGACCATCCTAGATGTTTTGTGTTCAGTAATGAAGTAGAATGTAGGTTACTGTCTTGGGCAATAGTGTCCATTTGAATTGCCTTTCTAAAGTAGTTTCCTAATGCTCAGGGTTGAATATTGATTGGGGAGGACCAGGGAGCCAATGACCGGACTCAAGAAGTCTACTTCCAGGGACAAGAGGTAATGGATGTTTTAACATTAATTTTATTATTTTTCTCTGCAGCAACGGGAAGCCAACCGGCCAAAGCCCAAAATGGGGACTTCAGCAGCGGTCAAGCTGCCATCCAATCGCAGTGCGTCTGGCGCCAGACGCAGGAGAACACGCTGCCGAAAGTGTGAGGCGTGCCTCCGAACCGAGTGTGGAGAATGTCACTTCTGTAAAGACATGAAGAAGTTTGGAGGACCAGGGCGCATGAAGCAATCCTGTATCATGAGGCAGTGCATTGCAGTGAGTAAAGCCATAGTAACCACACAGGCTTTTCATCATTCATACTATTTAGCAGATAGTTCAGTTAGTCAATATTGTCTTATCCAGTGCTACAGTGCTGTGCCACAAATGCAAAAGACTGCATTTGACATGAAAACCATAATGACAGGTTCACAGTTCAGGGTCTGAAAGAAGGGTCAGTGTAAGCGAGAACCAACCAGAAGTACAATGATACCGAGCGAGACCTCAGGAAGTTTTTGCAACAGTATGACTCATTCATGTGTAACATTTTCTTGATTCTTTTGAGTCCATTCAGTGGATATTTGTTTACGGCTTGGCATAGTTGCCAATGTCTGTTAATGATTCTCCTAAAACAGGAAAAAGACCAGTAGCAGCTTATCAACACTATTTGTGTCACTGAATGTGTTTTTGTGTTTGTCCTTTGCAGCCCGTCCTGCCCCACACAGCTGTGTGTGTGGTGTGCGGAGAAGCAGGGAAGGAGGACACATTGGAGGAGGACAAGTTCAATGTCATGCTCATGGAGTGCTCCATCTGCAATGAGATTGTCCACCCCAACTGCTTAAAGGTGAGACAGGATGAGCATGTCGAGTCGTGACTGAACACGACCATGACTGAACACAAGGCCAAGCCTCCATCTGATGAGTTTGATGATTCATAATTTTTGTGAGTGAGATTCACCTGAATGTTTATGATACGGTTGAGTGATTCATATGCTTTGTGACACACAAGTGAGGGCAATATCCTGGAATGTTTGCCTTTGTACAAACGGCAGGTGATTCACTGTGTTTGACTGTCAAACTGTTTTACAAGGCAGCTTGATGAGTCATTGGTGTGGTGGGGACTTCCTGTTGTTGTTTGACACTGAACCACCTCATCACATTCCCTCCTCCAGCTTGACTTGCAGTAGGCTGTGTCCAGTTGAAATCACATGATGCTAGAATACCACTTTGCAGTGTTGTTGACATTGCCGGGTGGAGCCGGATGCAAATAAAATGTAAAGCGGCTCATGCACTCTTAGCAACCATTCTACCAAAGCATAACATGTCATAGCATGTCCTTGCTCGAACCTGTTCTAATGAAGGGAGGTTGTGATCTACATCAAATATTAGGAACACAGCCTTTGTATTTGTGGTATTCCAGGCACATAACACACTTGTGGTAAGGTATTTCTGAAGAATATTTATTTTTCATTTTGATAAGACTTTGTGAGTCTTTATATGTTAGAGGTTGTTGTTTGCTAGAGTTTCTCACTTTTTGAAATGTGTCAGAAAATAAAGTGTTAAACTGCCTCACATAAAGAGGTCACAACAGTCACACTTTCAGTTCCCTGTTCATTTCTCTCTGTGGTGAACACATTGTACATTAGACTGACTCCCCTTCTGCCCTTCTCTTCTTAACTCTCTATTTTACTTCATGCTTTTCAGGTAAAAGATGCCTCTGGCGTGGTGAACGATGAACTTCCTAACTGTTGGGAATGTCCCAAATGCAACTATGCTGGGAAAACCGGAAAAGTGAGTACCTACAAATGTAGGATCTTAATTTGAGCCAGTTTGCTACAGCAGGAAAATAATCCTGCAGCAAAAGGATATGTGAATTATTATGTGGATTATATTTAATGGATATTTTGTAGGGGTTGATACATTTGAAATTATAAACTTCAGAAGCCTTTTTAAACATCAAATGCACTACAAGTTTAAAATGTCCTGCAACAGGGTGATCATACATCTATATATGAATGCATCATTTTGAGGTCTTACTGTAGGCAGCCTATCATAGAATACTATCTATTCTCAAGTTCATTAGCATTAATATGAAATGGATATTTCTGATTTTAGTTTACCCTTTCGCCAAAGATAAAGCACACACCAATTTTGTCATCTGATGTTGGATTAGGAAACAGTGCTGTGAACCACTCCAAATAATGTCTTTACTTTGTGGTTTCTTACTTCCTGTTCATCTACTTACTATATCACATGGTTCAATGCCTTGTTTCTGTTACACGGGAAGGAAACCAACACCTAATTCTCTAGAAGTGGCACCGTCACAGTCTAAGTAGTTTTTACAATGTCTGACTTGTTTCACCATTGTGAAACAAGTACAGTAGCTCAGTTTGGTGACCCTGTCGTGATAGGCAAAATATATAAAGTTGTCTTCCCTGTTTTTCCACCTTTTGGTCTGCAAGCAAAAAAGGGGACCAGGATTCAAGTATGCGTCTAACCTCCCTGGCTCCCTGCTGAAGGAGCAGAAGGCAGTCAAGGAGGAGGGCGAGTCCACATCCACCTCTACGTCTACAGCCAAGAGGAAGCCTGAAGGGGATGAGACCCCCAGACACAGACCTGAGGAACGGGAGCCCCTCCACAGACACCCCCCTGTCCTGACCCCCAGCACCCTGCCTCGGCCCAGACCTGAGGACAAACTGAGGAAGAAGAGGAAGCTCTTCGACGATGATGAGGAAGAGGACTTCAGTGTGAGGAAGAAGGTAGAGAGACTGATTTCATAATGCAGTTTCTGTTTGTGTCTGTTAGTACAATGTTACTCATTGACTATGGATGGCCATTTTCATGCTGTGCCAAGCAACTCCTTTTGTAAAATGTTTGGATGTTGATATGTGCTCTGGTATCCATAGTTGAACATGCTCTCTAACTAAACCTCCCTCTCCCCCACAGGGAAAGTCAGATGAAACTCTGTTCCCCAAACTCCTTCATCAGATCAAGACTGAGGAGGAGGAAGTGGATGAGAAGGAGAAGGACTCTCTGTTCTGGCGAGGCCTGGAGAGGAGAGTGCGTTTAGGAGATACCGAGGACGAGGCAGAGGACAGGGATGACGAGGACACAAAGACAAACCTGCCAAGGCCTCCTCTCAAAACTCCTGTTCTAGACAGTGACCAGTCTCACTGCAGCTCTCCACAGGCTGGCCCCAGCAGCGAGGGGGGCAGTGAACCCCAGGAGAAGGGCCCACGCCCCAAAGCACGCCGCAAACGCCGTTTACCCAACAAGGAGCTGAGCAAAGAGCTGAGCAAAGCACTGAACCAGGAGATCCAGAAGACTGAGAACTGCCTAGCCAATGAGAACCGCCAGCCCCTCAAGGTGGAGCCAGAGAGTGAGAATGAGGAGCCCAAGAGGGGCTTCCGCATCGGCAGTGACCTGGGAGGGGAGCGCCCCCACCTCCGGACCAAGGAAATGAACGGCACCCCCTGGGAGCTGCGCCACTTCTACCCCAGCCAGATCACCCCTCTGGGCTTCAACAGGAGCTCCCCTGGTACCCGGCCCCTGCCCCCACGCTCCCCACCCAAGTGTGTCCAAATGGAGCGTCACGTCATCCGGCCACCCCCCATCAGCCCCCCGCCGGACAGACTGCCCCTGGTGGATGGGAAGACCCATGCGGTGCAGCGAGAGATCTGGATGAAGATCTTTGGACACTTCACACACAAGGAGCTGTGTGTCTGCATGTGTGTCTGCAAGACATGGAATAGATGGTTAGAGCTCTTTTACTATTCCCACTCAGATTTTTACTTTACATTGAGGGCCTATAAAACATAAATGAAAGATGCGTTATAAAAGTAGCTCTCACGAGCCAAACTGAGTCCCTGAAATTTGTGCACAATTGTGTATGTCATCCATTTCGTATGATGTGTTACGTCCTGTATATTTTTTTTTTAGGAATTCCAATTCGTAAAATATGTTACTAATTTGTAAGTGCTTAAGATCCCGTTCAATCTCTTTTAACACTTACATTCAAATATACTAATTATCTAGAACATAGTGAATTTTAGTCCAAGCCAGATAGTGACTGTGTATCTCTATTGTCTATTTCTGACAGGTGCTGTGATAAAAGACTGTGGACCAACATTGATCTGAACCGCTGTAAATCTATCACTCCCCTCATGCTGAGTGGCATCATCCGCAGACAGCCCCTCTCACTGGACCTCAGCTGGACCAACATCTCCAAGAAGCAGCTGGGCTGGCTAATTAACCGCTTACCAGGTACATACCAGGACCATGTGAACCTCTGATCTATGGGAGAGAAATATGTTTTGGCTAGACACTAGAGCAGGGGTGTCAAACTCATTTTAGCTCAGGGGCCACATGGAGGAAAATCTATTCCCAAGTGGGCCGGACCGGAAAAATCATGGTATATATAACTTAAAAACAACAACTTCAGATTGTTTTCTTTGTTTTAATACGATCAACATCCAACATAAAGCTGGAGCCTGAGGACAGTGTGTCCAAAATAGTACAAGCACAACATCACTATTAATCATAAAACACGTCAAGTTTATTTGAAAATTCTAAAGAAAAAGAACACACAAACACACAATGCCTCAGTGATTAACATAACTGTTTCACAGATCACAGAACTATATCAGGGTGTCATTTCTCAGGCAGAAATGTAGATAAAAATAATGAAATCCTGTTCCCCAAACAAGTGCAAGAACCACAGAGTCAAGAATAGGTTAAATATACAAATAAAATAAAATCATTAAAAACAATAGCACATCAACATAAAAACATATAAACATAAAGCTGGAGCCTGAGGACAGTGTCCAAAAGCACAACATCACTATTAATCATAAAACACCTCAAGTTATTTGAAAGTTCTGAGGACAAAGAACACACAAACACACAATGCCTCAGTGATTCACAGAAGTATATCACAGATCACAGAACTATATCAGGGTGTCATTTCTCAGGCAGAAATGTAGATAAAAATAATGAAATCCTGTTCCCCAAACAAGTGCAAGAACCACAGAGTCAAGAATAGGTTAAATATACAAATAAAATAAAATCAATTAAAAACAATAGCACATCAACATAAAAACATATAAACATAAATCTGAAAGCGTTGCTCAAACTCCCGTAACAGTCCAGTTATTTTATCTTTGAACCGCTTCATGTCTGCCACATGTTGGGTCGCGCACACATTTTTCAGACAGGGGAAGTGAGCTGCATCACCACCGGCAAGTTGCGTCTCCCACAATGACAGCTTCAACTTGAAAGAACGTATGCTGTCATAATACTGCGTGACAACTTTGTTGCGCCCTTGCAGCTGTTTGTTCAAGTTATTGAGGTGCTCTGTAACATCCACCATAAATGCAAGGTCCGGCATCCATTCTGCGGAATGAAATTCTAACACTGGTTTGCCCTTTTCTTCCATGAACTGTTCAATTTCTTCTCGTAAATCAAAGAAACGCCTCAGCACAGCACCTCGGCTTCTGATTCAGGCTTCTGGATCGGATGAAATTAACAGTTTGGATGACCACCTTCATGACGTTATCCATCTTTAATGACTTGCAACACAAAGCCTCCTGGTGCAAAATACAGTGAAAAGTCAAAAAATCACGTCCTCCATTTGCAGATTGCACTTTCTCTCTGAACTTTGTCACAACGCCTGCTTTTTTCCCGATCATTGAGGGCGCACCATCTGTAGCCAGGCTGACAGCGCGGGACCAGTCCACTCCGACCCTGTCCAGCGCGCCGACGAGTGCGGTAAAAATATCAGCTGCTGTCGTTGTATCTGTCATCGGCACCAACTCCACGAACTCCTCGGTGACGGTCAATGTGTCATCAACTCCGCGGATGAAAAAATGGCCAGTTGTGCAACATCTGTAATGTCCGTGCTTTCATCAATTGCAACCGAAAACGCAATAAATGACTTTACTTTTTGCTTCAACTGGCTGTCCAAATCCACTGAAAGATCGGAAATCCTGTCTGCAACTGTGTTTCTTGTCAGGCTGATATTTGCAAAAGCCTGCCGCTTTTCAGGGCACACAATCTCCGCTGCCTTCATCATGCATGTTTTTACAAATTCACCCTCACTAAATGGTTTTGAAGCCACTGCGATTTCATTAGCAATGAGGTAGCTAGCTTTCACTGCAGCGTCACTGATGTCTCGGCTGTGAGTAAACACAGACTGCTGTTTCTTCAGACCCGCCAACAGTTCATTCACCTTCTCTCATCTCCGCTGTCCTTGAAAGTTGTCATATTTGTCGGCATGAAGACTCACATAGTGGCGACGAAGGTTATATTCTTTCAGCACTGCAACATGCTCTGAACACACCAAACATACAGCTTTCCCATTCAATTCCGTGATTAAATAGGATGACCATTTTTCTTGGAACACTCTGCACTCTGCGTCCACTTTTCTCTTTTTTGACAGAGACATATTGGGGCAATGAGGGTGCCAAAGCACATAATGTTAAAAGTAGAAGCCGTAATAAATATCGCGGGCAAAACAAAGTAGCTCATTGGCTGCACGTGCTTGACCTACTTGCTCTGCCCCGGTATAAACAGTTTGCTTGCTTAACACAATTGCTATTGCGCCATCCAGTGGACGCAATTGGAACAGCAGTTTATTTTATTGAAAAATTGCAGCGCATTTTTATACTTAAATAAAAATAAATTTTTTTTTTATTTTTTATTATTATTAATTTTTTTTAAATCATCTCGCGGGCCGGATTAAACCCGTTTGCGGGCCTGATCCGGCCCGCGGGCCGTATGTTTGACACCCCTGCACTAGAGACTGTCCACCCCTCTATGTGATTGTGTCTGTTGAAACCCTTCGGACACTACACCGCTCTGTGTCCTGCAGGTCTGCGGGTGTTGCTGCTCTCAGGGTGCTCGTGGGTGGCTGTATCTGCCCTCTGCACCTCTAGCTGCCCTCTGCTGCGCACCCTGGACGTGCAGTGGGTGGAGGGGCTCAAAGATGCCCAGATGAGGGACCTGCTCTCGCCACCGACCGACAACAGACCAGGTAACCACCGGCAACAAGAGGGGAGAGTTAGATGAAATTGACATGACTGTATTATAGCAGCCTCTGGTGGTTCTCCTGGGTGTGACAGGACTGGGAGGCTTTTCTTTCTAAAAACCCATTAGGCAGACAATATGAGTGTATCTTAAAGGATGTTAACGAAAATGAATGAGATTACTCACCATGCTTGACTGCGAGATGGGAAATCACTCCTATTTTATTCCTGCTGTCCACCCTCAGGTCAGTTGGACAACCGCTGTAAGCTGAGGAACGTTTTGGACTTGTGTCTGGCCGGACTGGACATCACAGACACCTCTCTGCGTCTGATTATCAGACATATGCCGTTACTTTCCCGACTGGACCTGAGCTATTGCAACCACATCAACGACCAGTCGGTCAACCTGCTGACGGCCGCAGGGACAACAACCAGAGATTCCCTCACAGAGATCAACCTGTCAGGTAGGAACCCTCAGTCAGTCACACCACTCTCACAACCTCAGTATTAGCACTTGGGGCTAGAGTAATACAGCACCGCAGAGGCTCATTTTATTTACTCTGCTATGTCACTTTTTTTTCTTCTTTTTTTACCTTCGGATGACAAAAATAAACTTTTGTTTTTACAGCTTTTTCTTTTGTTGTTACATGTACATTCTAAACACATTTTAGAATCATGCCACTTATTTTTTTACAGTAGTTACATAGCAAGAATAAAGTAATTTCATATACATTACATCTGGATAGATAGTAATTATACATTGTCTTTTCAGTCATAACTATTATAGAACGAGCTATTTCACTTATTTTGTGTCTTCATATTAAAGAATATAGAAGATGTATTTATTCTATGTCTTATCTTGATTTTAGTTTATTTATTTATTATAATTTGCAAGTCTTTGTTGCATTTAGGCTTCATAATATTCAATCTGGCTCTCTACTTGTTTTCTCATGCCTGGCTCTGTTTTTGTCTCCCCCTCCAGTTTGTAATAGGGTGACAGACCATTCCCTTACCTTCTTCAAGCGCTGTGGAAGCATCTGTCACATTGACCTGCGCTATTGCAAACAGGTGACCAAGACTGCCTGTGAACAGTTCATAGCAGAGATGTCTGTGAGTGTACAGTTTGGACTCAAAGAGGACAAATTACTGCAGAAACTCAGCTAGACACTGACATTAAGGCCAAAATGTACACAGCAAAAAAGAACTACCCTTTTTACTAAATGGAGCAAGACAAGGTTTCCCCCATCAAGCCTGCACTGGTTGGTTTTGTATATTTATTTCCTCTTCATTGGAGAATCTACTGTATTAGATTTGTGAACGAACAATGTCACATTTTTGCATCAATGTCATTCTGGACGTTAAAGGGGAAGATGTACTGGACAGAAGGAGATGGGGAGGGAAAACAAAACATGCATGTGTTTATTTTTGTGTTAAGATTGTACCCTTTTTCAAAGGCTTGTGTTTGTTGCATTGAATTTGTTGGGGAATTTGTTTTCTATTACTTAGAAATGTTAAATGTTTAAAACATTAGATTTTTTTTTTTTATACAATAATAATTCACGCATTGGGCTAACAATTTAGGTTATAGTGAAACTCTATGTATGCAGTACCATACACACCCCAGATTTCAACTTATGAACAGTTTCCAGATAATTCTTAGAACTGAATATTGACCTACAGTACTTTAAATCAGTTTGCCTTGACACCGATGGTAATATATATTTTTGGATGCTGTGTTTTACCTGATATCATGTGCCAAATTCTGAAGGTGACATTACAAGTTAATGGTAGTTACTGACTTGGACTGGATTTACTTTAATACTTTACTTAAAACATGAACATAAGACAATTAGAAAATACATGTTTTAAATGTTTAAATAAGATTTAAATAAATGTTGCAAAGATGGTTAGGTTAATGAATATATCTTGAAATTAATCAGTCAATAAATATTGACATAAGGAATGTTAGTCAATGTATTTTTTAAATCTCTCAGTACCTTCTGCATTTTCCTCTGTTTCGTACATATTTCAATCTCATTGTGTTTCGCATGTTTTAGCACTCGAGCCCATAATGTGAGATTCTGTTTCGTACATATTTCAATCTCATTGTGTTTCGCATGTTTTAGCACTCGAGCCCATAATGTGAGATTCTGTCAAGTAATTGAATAATCCGCTTTAAAGGGCCAATCCGCATTTGAAACAATAACAAAGCGTTACCCGCCTGTTTTGGTAAAAAGCTGAGGGCTGGGCCTGGAGAAATGTAATCACTCTCAAATTCGAAAGACATATGGATGCAAGGACTGACCATCCATGATATCAAAATGATAGTTTTAACCACATTTTGAGGCTATACAGTTTGTTTACATTTGTTTACTAAGCTCATGAGGCATTTGTAAGTTATATTCAAGAATCAATGAGAATATATAATTAATTTCTAAGTCCAAAAATGGGTGTAGCAACTGCAGACTGCCCCTTTACAAAACTGTTTCCACCAGTGCATACAGTAACAGTGGCCTCCACAGACTTGGCATGTTTCTATGAAAGAGCATTTGATTATCCGATTATTAATTCCAAGATTGACTTTATCTATTAATTTTGTATTTATTTATATTTGATAGTTATCATCCATAATTGTGGTTTTGTGCAAATAATGTAATTATAATTTGCCATTATCTGTTGTGACTGTGACCGACAATGTCACAAGTGAATGATGTTGGCCACCTTGACTACAGATGCACGATGTAGTTCATATTTGTAAATCTAAAATCAAGTGCTATGATTGTCATTAAAAGTATATTTCTCTGTATAACATATTTTTGACCCTCAGTTGTGGCCTTTTGATAGGGCACAGCAGAGTATTTCCTAAATGCCAGGGTAACTGGTGACCTCAGGTGGCTTAACTTTCGATGAGCAGGAAAGAACATTGGTATATGGACATATTTTTGGAACCTTCTCACCCAACTCAGGTGATGTATCAACCATGTTTTTTTGTTTTACATTCAGCGTTTGTCACATGGAAGCTGCTGTCTGCAGCTGTCCTCTCCTAGACAAAGGTATAATCTGGTACTCTAAACACTAGTTCACCCTACAGGATTGCTTTCATTTTCCTAAAGCATTTCCCTATTTATCAAATTGTTAATTTCATTTTTCAAAGGGGTGCCAAGAATGAGTGGTCTGGGCATCACCGCATACTAGACAAGTAGACAGTCTAATGTATTTAATAAAAATATTTAATTGCCTAAATAAAAAGTTATACATTCCCAAATACAAAGACCAGACCTTGCACACTATTTGTTTAGCATACCCTTCCAAAGGGAAGTGCAACCTTCTCAGCTACTATAGGCGCTTGCATGTGACATTTTCTGAAATAGCAGCAACGTTGACTTTGAAACAGTACAGTGCTTAGTATTTTAAAAGGGCAGGAAAACGATCAGTATGGAAATAAGATCTCTAACCCAATGTCAGTGCCTATGTCAAATGGCACCCTATTCCCTGGCCTATATAGTGCACTACTTTTGACCAAAGCATCATAGGTTCTGGTCGAAAGTAGTGCACTTGACAATTCATCTTGATGGTTGTACAGTTGTCTAAAAACAAAACTGTGTAGGACCTCAGCGTTACTCTGGACCCTGATCTCTCTTTTGACGAAAATATCAAGAATATTTCAAGGACAGCTTTTTCCATCTTCGTAACATTGCAAAAATCAGAAACTCTTTGTCCAAAAATGATTCAGAAATGCTAATCCATGCTTTTGTCACTTCTAGATTAGACTACTGCAATGCTCTACTCTCCGGCTACCCGGATAAAGCACTAAATAAACTTCAGTTAGTGCTAAACACGGCTGCTAGAATCCTGACTAGAACCAAAACATGTGATCATATTACTCCAGTGCTAGCCTCTCTACATTGGCTTCCTGTTAAGGCTAGGGCTGATTAAGGTTGTATTGCTAACCTACAAAGCATTACATGGGCTTGCTCCTACCTATCTCTCCGATTTGGTCCTGCCGTACATACCTACACGTACGCTACGGTCACAAGACGCTGGCCTCCTTATTGTCGCTAGAATTTCTAAGCAAACAGCTGGAGGCAGGGCTTTCTCCTATAGAGCTCCATTTTTATGGAATGGTCTGCCTTTCCATGTGAGAGATGCAGACTCGGTCTCGACCTTTAAATCTTTACTGAAGACTCATCTCTTCAGTAGGTCCTATGATTGAGTGTAGTCTAGCCCAGGGGTGCGAAGGTAAACGGAAAGGTACTGGAGCGATAAACCGCCCTTGCTGTCTCTCCATTGGGATTCTCTGATTGACTTTGGCAAAGTGGGTGGGGTTATATCCTGCCTGGTTGGCCCTGTCCGGGGGTATCGTCAGACAGGGCCACAGTGTCCCCCCCCCCCACCGTCTCAGCCTCCAGTATCTATGCTGCAATAGTCTGTGCCGGAGGGCTAGGGTCAGTCTGTCTTATCTGGTGTCCTGTGTCCTAATTCTCTCTCTCTCTCCCATCCCGGAGGACGTGAGCCCTAGGACCATGCCTCAGGACAACCTGGCCTGACGACTCCTTGCTGTCCCCAGTCCACCTGGTCGTGCTGCTGCTCCAGTTTCCACTCTTCTGCGGCTATGGAACCCTGACCTGTTCACCGGACGTGCTACCTTGTCCCAGACCTGCTGTTTTCATCTCTCTCTCTCTACCACACCTGCTATTTCAACCTCTAAATGCCCGTCTATGAAAAGCCAAGTGACATTTACTCCTGATGTACTGACCTGTTGCAACCTCTACAACCACTGTGATTATTATTTGACCCTGCTGGTCATCTATGAACATTTGAACATCTTGGAGGAAAATTGCTGTTTGGGGTTTTAGGCTGGGTTTCTGTATAGGACTTTGTGATATCTGCTGATGTAAAAAGGGCTTTATAAATCACATTTGATTGATTGATAAGGAATAGGGTGCCATTTCGGACATAACCGTACATCTTCATACTCTGCTTCTTGTTTGGGGACAGAAAGCTCAAGCAAACCAATGCAGTAACAACACATTTCAATCCACCTGACAGTGAAACATAACTCTTTAATAATAAACTAGCCAAATCTTAGGGACATATTCAATATTACACGTTCAAATTAAATGGAAAAAATATAGGTATGTACAACTCAGTGATATGCAAATGCACAGCAAGTCACTTTTCCTCTATATATACACTTTATATTCCAGTTTCAGTTAAGTTGCAGCTCTATCTTTGATTAGTTCTGTGCTAAAACTACAATAATGTATCAATTAATAATATTCCGTTAATAAAAGCATATCCACAATTTAAGTTGGTATACTAGCTGAAACAGAAAAAACATTTGAATGTATTTAGCACCTGTTTTTCTTTTTCATCTTAACATTCAGTGATAAGACATGACAAAAGAGCAAATAATGACATTGGATATTGCTGTTATGAATTAAAATACAAATGTGACAGACTTCCTCTGTCGAATCAAAATAGACCTCTATATGGACAGATATTCCATGATGGGCTTGGTCATTTGGACAGGAGGAACAGTGAGTTACCAGTCACAGTTAAAGGTTCACTCTGTAGATAACTGGGAACAATGGTGTACGTGAAATCAAAGTGCCACCTGATTGGTTACATCATGACATCATGACATACAGTACTAATAATTAACATTCACACTGGGGGGAGGGGAAACATTCTCATTTGGCACCTAATTCGCTCACCCCCCATCCTCCTCTGTTGCACAGTACAGTATTTTCTTCAGAATTACTAAGCTATGCAGTCATTTGCAGCAAATGCTACAGTTCATAGTAGGCAGATTCGAAAGTGATACGTCATGTTAGACAACAATGCACATGATTGAATAGCTCACATTCTTGATAGGTAGAGAAGATAAGGTAGATAGTAACAAGTCAAGGATGTGTTTAGGAATGGAATGGATTAATACGACGGTAGACTGCTGCCCTTTTCCTTCAAACACTGATTAGTCAAACTAAATAATAAAAGTGAAAAAGATATAGAACACTGCATTTCCAATATTCATGTTTAAGTGTGCAAATAATGTAAGCGTTTCAGGGGATGATAACAGAGAACACCCACAACAAAGTATTTTGGAATTTTTCTGAGCTACTTCGGTTGGCTGGTGGTGAGCATGGAGGCAGTCTCCCAGTATGGACTGTGACAGAACAACAGATCTCTGTTTCTCTGGAGGTGAATGTTTTGTTGAGGTTGTGAGACTGTGGTGGCGGTTGTGGGTTGAGACATTAGGACTTGAAGACGTGCACGGCTCTCACAACGTACTGCCTGCAGATGGGACACTCGCTCATCCGCTTACCACACTTGGTGCAGGTGACCATGTGACCACACTCCAGGAGGACGCAGTCGATCGCAGCGTCCATGCAGATCCTGCACAGACTGTCATCCAGGTTGGTCAGCTGGGCCTTCTCCCCATCTGGAGGAAGACAGAGGGGAGGAATCAGAGAAAAAAGCAAAAGAACAGAACATTCCATACAGATCAGAGTGGAGGAGAGCAATGATGATGTCATGCCCCGAAGAGGTAAAAGAGAGTGACACTGCCTATGAGAGAGATCACAATATCTCCTCTCTCTCTTATCTAGGGTGCCTTATCTTAGGAAGGTCATGGCTGGTACAAAGCAGAGGGCAAGCTCCATACAGGCTCCTGGAAATGTCAGAGCCGGTTAAAAAGGCTTCCATAAGAGGAGTTTCCATGACAATGAGACCCCTTCCTCATCCTGACTGTGTATCAGTGGATGTTTGAATTCAGACCCCAGACATCATACAGCTGGACAGAATACAGTGTCTTCAGAAAGTAAATTGAGATTGTGTCACTTAACAAGTCACATACAGTGGGGAGAACAAGTATTTGATACACTGCCGATTTTGCAGGTTTTCCTACTTACAAAGCATGTAGAGGTCTGTAATTTTTATCATAGGTACACTTCAACTGTGAGAGACGGAATCTAAAACAAAAATCCAGAAAATCACATTGTATGATTTTTAAGTAATTAATTTACATTTTATTGCATGACATAAGTATTTGATACATCAGAAAAGCAGAACTTAATATTTGGTACAGAAACCTTTGTTTGTAATTACAGAGATCATACGTTTCCTGTAGGTCTTGACCAGGTTTGCACACACTGCAGCAGGGATTTTGGCCCACTCCTCCATACAGACCTTCTCCAGATCCTTCAGGTTTCGGGGCTGTCGCTGGGCAATACAGACTTTCAGCTCCCTCCAAAGATTTTCTATTGGGTTCAGGTCTGGAGACTGGCTAGGTCACTCCAGGACCTTGAGATGCTTCTTACGGAGCCACTCCTTAGTTGCCCTGGCTGTGTGTTTCGGGTCGTTTTCATGCTGGAAGACCCAGCCACGACCCATCTTCAATGCTCTTACTGAGGGAAGGAGGTTGTTGGCCAAAATCTCGCGATACATGGCCCCATCCATCCTCCCCTCAATACGGTGCAGTCGTCCTGTCCCCTTTGCAGAAAAGCATCCCCAAAGAATGATGTTTCCACCTCCATGCTTCACGGTTGGGATGGTGTTCTTGGGGTTGTACTCATCCTTCTTCTTCCTCCAAACACGGCGAGTGGAGTTTAGACCAAAAAGCTCTATTTTTGTCTCATCAGACCACACGACCATCTCCCATTCCTCCTCTGGATCATCCAGATGGTCATTGGCAAACTTCAGACGGGCCTGGACATGCGCTGGCTTGAGCAGGGGGACCTTGCGTACGCTGCAGGATTTTAATCCATGACGGCGTAGTGTGTTACTAATGGTTTTCTTTGAGACTGTGGTCCCAGCTCTCTTCAGGTCATTGACCAGGTCCTGCCGTGTAGTTCTGGGCTGATCCCTCACCTTCCTCATGATCATTGATGCCCTACAAGGTGAGATCTTGCATGGAGCCCCAGACCGTCATCTTGAACTTCTTCCATTTTCTAATAATTGCGCCAACAGTTGTTGCCTTCTCACCAAGCTGCTTGCCTATTGTCCTGCAGCCCATCCCAGCCTTGTGCAGGTCTACAATTTTATCCCTGATGTCCTTACACAGCTCTCTGGTCTTGGCCATTGTGGAGAGGTTGGAGTCTGTTTGATTGAGTGTGTGGACAGGTGTCTTTTATACAGGTAACGAGTTCAAACAGGTGCAGTTAATACAGGTAATGAGTGGAGAACAGGAGGGCTTCTTTAAAAAAAACTAACAGGTCTGTGAGAGCCGGAATTCTTACTGGTTGGTAGGTGATCAAATACTTATGTCATGCAATAAAATGCAAATTAATTACTTAAAAATCATACAATGTGATTTTCTGGATTTTTGTTTTAGATTCCATCTCTCACAGTTGAAGTGTACCTATGATAAAAAAACCTGCACAATCGGCAGTGTATCAAATACTTGTTCTCCCCACTGTATGTTGTGTGGATTCACTGTGTGCAATAACAGTGTTTAACATGATTTTTGAATGACTACCTCATTTCTGTACCCCACACATACAATTATCTATAAGGTCCCTCAGTCGAGCAGTGAATTTCAAACACACATTCAACCACAGACCAGGGAGGTTTTCCAATGCCTTGCAAAGAAGGGCACCTATTGGTAGATGGGTAAAAAAAAAAGCAGACATTGAATATCCCTTTGAGCATGGTGAAGTTATTAATTACACTTTGGATGGCGTATCAATTCACCCAGTCACTACAAAGATACAGGCGTCCTTCCTAACTCATGAGGCCAATGGTGATTTTAAAACAGTTACAGAGTTTAATGGCTGTGATAGGAGAAAACTGAGGATGGATCAACAACATTGTAGTTACTCCAGAATACTAACCTAAATGACAGAGTGAAAAGAAGAAAGAATATTCCAAAACATGCATCCTGTTTGCAATAAGGCACTAAAGTAAAACTGGCAAAAATGTGGCAAAGAAATAAACTTTATGTCCTGAATAAAAAAGCGTTATGTTTGGGGCAAATCCAACACAACCCATTACTAAGTACTACTCTTCATATTTTCAAGCATTGTGGTGACAATCATGTTATGGGTATGCTTATCATCGGCAAGGACTAGGGAGTTTTTTTTGGGATAAAAATTAACTGAAATGTTCCATAAGCACAAAAAGCTTATTTCTCTCAAATGTTGTGCACAAATTAGTTTACATCCCTGTTAGTGAGCATTTCTCCTTTGCCAAGATAATCCACCTGACAGGTGTGGCATATCAAGAAGCTGATTAAACAGCATGAACATTACACAAGTGCACTTTGTGCTGTGGACAATAAAAGGCCCCTTTAAAATGTGCAGTTCTGTCACACAACGCCACAGATGTCTCAAGTTGAGGGAGCGTGCAATTGGCATGTTGACTGCAGGAATGTCCACCAGAGCTGTTGCCAGAGAATTGAATATTAATTTCTCTACCATAAGCCACCTTCAACGTTGTTTTAGAGTATTTGGCAGTACATCCAACTGGCCTCACAACCACAGACCACATGTAACCACGCCAGCCCAGGACCTCCACATCTGGCTTCTTCACCTGCAGGATCCGTCTGTAATAAAGCCCTTTTGTGGGGGGAAAACACATTCTGATTGGGTGGGCCTATGCCCTCTCAGGCCCACCCATGGCTGCACCCCTGCCCAGTCATGTGAAATCCATAGATTAGGGCCTAAATAATTTATTTCAATTGACTGATTTCCTTATACTGTATGAACTGTAACTCAGTAAAATCTTTGAAATTGTTGCATGTTGCGTTTATATTTTTGTTCAGTATATATGGCAAGACTTGAAAATTAATGTCTAGCAATGTTCAACAACCAACTTGACAGAGCTGAATCCTTTTTTAATTCAGGCTTTAACACAACAAGATGTGGAATAAGTCAAGGGGTATGAATACTTTCTGAAGGCACTGTATGTGTGTGAACTTATAAAATACCATCTTGGGCTTTCTAAGAGGTAATAAACTTAAGGATAGAACTTGGGTGACTGGTTCTTATTTCGCAATGGAAAGGGGCAATGATGCCTCCAATAGCTAGACATGCTCAGATTGCATGGAGGTACCTTTGGTATGGATGAGATACAAAGACACCATGATGGATGTGCAGCAGTAGTAGTGGTGGTGGTGGGACCAGATGTAGTAAGTAAGGTGAAACTGATGGTTGTATATGAGGATGGATGCCTGTGTTACATGCAGACTGAGGGGCCGGGCCATGAGAAGGTAGGAGTGACCAGGTCAACAGTTGGAGTGACCAGGGGAACACTTGCCCTTTTCAGATACCTTACCTCCAATCCCTCCAATGCAGATGGGAGGAAGGGGCAAGACCATCACTTGGAAGGAGTAAAGCAAATGTAATTAAATACTGATTCTGAATTTTAAAAAACACTACAGAAATCAACTAAGAATCAACCCCTGGTACAAAGCATTGATGGGATACAGGAACTCTGAAGGTACAATATTAATGGTAGCTACAGTAATGAACATACTGTACGTCCTGAGCTAGAATATCACTGACGAGACAGAGACTGAACGGTTACATGTCAAGTAGCTGTACTTTCCATTCCTGTTCCACAGACTTTACATATCACGTACCATCACAAATGACAGACAGAGCAGTGATCTCTTACCTGAAGTTATAGCTGTGTTCACGTTTTCCACTAGAGGAAAGTAAGAAAAAACATTTAGGTACTCAAGCTAATAAAACTAACGTACACCATTTTAATGGGCAAACATGGCGTAGTAATGACCATAGGAGTTGGCGAGACAGCTCAATCTGGGACCAGGCTCACAGCTACTCACATGACTTCCTGTTCTCTTCTGTCTCTCTGTACAAGTGGCTGACGCGATCTACCAGCTCCCACTTCTCACAGCAGCCTGAATAGTTGACAAAGTTCCTGGCCAGGATCTCCTTCAGCTGTCTGACGGACAGGCCTTCGATGTCCCTCAGGCCAGAGACGTCTGAGAGAGAGGCCTGTGCTCGCTGCCGCGTCAGAGGGCTCACCTGCAGGAGGAGAGAGGGGAGCCATAAGCCATTACATACATGACACACTGCATTGGAGAGAAAGGGGCAGATTGGACAGGACAAAGTTGCACCCCTCGGAATAAGCTCCAGATGCTGTGAGAGGTAGTAGCCTACTGGGTGATGTTCATTATTTGCCTCTGGTGTGTGTTCAATGGGTTCCAGGTTCAGGATGGAGAGAGACGTGGCGTCTCCTATATCCTGTACAGCAAAAACAAACACAAAACATATGACTCAGACGGAAACCTCCACAGAGAACTAAACTCAGCAAAAAAAGAAATGCCCCTTTTTCAGGACCCTGTCTTTCAAAGTTAATTTGTAAAAATCCAAATAACTTCACAGATCTTAATTGTAAAGGGTTTAAACACTGTTTCCCATGCTTGTTCAATGAACCATAAACAATTAATGAACATGCACCTGTGGAACGGTCGTTAAGACACTAACAGCTTACAGACGGTAGGCAATTAAGGTCACAGTTATGAAAACTTAGGACACTAAAGAGGCCTTTCTACTGACTCTGAAAAACACCAAAAGAAAGATGCCCAGGGTCCCTGCTCATCTGCGTGAACGTGCATTAGGCATGCTGCAAGGAGGCTGCAGTAAAAGGACTGCAGATGTGGCCAGGGCAATAAATTGCAATGTCCGTACTGTGAGACGCCTAAGACAGCGCTACAGGGAGATAGGACGGACAGCTGATCGTCCTCGCAGTGGCAGACCACGTGTAACAACACCTGCACAGGATCGGTACATCCGAACATCACACCTGCGGGACAGGTACAGGATAGCAACAACAACTGCCCGAGTTACACCAGGAACGCACAATCCCTCCATCAGTGCTCAGACTGTCCGCAATAGGCTGAGAGAGGCTGGACGGAGGGCTTGTAGGCCTGTTGTAAGGCAGGTCCTCACCAGACATCACCGGCAAAAATGTCGCCTATGGGCACAAACCCACCGTCGCCAGACAGGACTGGCAAAAAGTACTCTTCACTGACGAGTCGCGGTTTTGTCTCACCAGGGGTGATGGTCGGATTCGCGTTTATCGTTGAAGGAATGAGCGTTATACCGAGGCCTGTACTCTGGAGCGGGATCGATTTGGAGGTGGAGGGTCCGTCACGGTCTGGGGCGGTGTGTCACAGCATCATTGGACTGAGCTTGTTGTCATTGCAGGCAATCTCAACGCTGTGCGTTACAGGGAAGACATCCTCCTCCCTCATGTGGTACCCTTCCTGCAGGCTCATCCTGACATGACCCTCCAGCATGACAATGCCACCAACCATACTGCTCGTTCTGTGCGTGATTTCCTGCAAGACAGGAATGTCAGTGTTCTGCCATGGCCAGCGAAGAGCCCGGATCGCAGGAAATCAGAGGGTGAGGACTAGGGCCATTCCCCCCAGAAATGTCAGTGAACTTGCAGGTGCCTTGGTGGAAGAGTGGGGTAACATCTCACAGCAAGAACTGGCAAATCTGGTGCAGTCCATGAGGAGGAGATGCACTGCAGTACTTAATGCAGCTGGTGGCCACACCAGATACTGACTGTTAATTTTGATTTTGACCCCCCCCTTTGTTCCGGGACATATTATTCAATTTCTGTTAGTCACATGTCTGTGGAACTTGTTCAGTTTATGTCTCAATTGTTGAATCTTGTTATTTTCATACAAATATTTACACATGTTAAGTTTGCTGAAAATAAACGCAGTTGACAGTGAGAGGACGTTTCTTTTTTTGCTGAGTTTATAAATACTTACTGTACAGTCTAGGTAGGGATTAGGATTAGTCACCCGCTGCTTAGTCCATAAATACCTTGGGGACTACTATGTTTACCTTCCATTCCTAGTAAAGCTTTTACTGCGGTCTACACCAGCTGAGCAGGTAAAGTACAGGTATTTATAGCAGTCAACAAATGTCAGAGATGTGATGGGAAAAAAAGCTCAAAAATTGTGTAAGGAACAGCGAGGGGGAGGTCCAGAGAGGTACTTTACCCCCCTAATGAAGCTGAATAACTTTTTGATTTTTTAAAACCTGAAACAGACATTTCCTGCAATCTAGCATGAAATATCATGAATTGTGACGCATAAACCATGAGAAGACATTTAAAAGAAATATTTTGTTTACAGGAATTGAGAAACAGGACAGGACTACTTCCTATATCTTTGAGAGAGAAGAGAGGGGAGGCGAGGGGAGAGTCCAACAGGAGGCCTCATCTCTCTATGGGGGGGGGGGGGTAGAGTCCAACAGGAGGCCTCATCTCTCTATGGGGGGGGAGAGTCCAACAGGAGGCCTCATCTCTCTATGGGGGGGGGGGGGGGAGAGTCCAACAGGAGGCCTCATCTCTCTATGGGGGGAGAGTCCAACAGGAGGCCTCATCTCTCTATGGGGGGGAGAGTCCAACAGGAGGCCTCATCTCTCTATGGGGGGGAGAGTCCAACAGGAGGCCTCATCTCTCTATGGGGGGGAGAGTCCAACAGGAGGCCTCATCTCTCTATGGGGGGGAGAGTCCAACAGGAGGCCTCATCTCTCTATGGGGGGGGAGAGTCCAACAGGAGGCCTCATCTCTCTATGGGGGGGAGAGTCCAACAGGAGGCCTCATCTCTCTATGGGGGGGAGAGTCCAACAGGAGGCCTCATCTCTCTATGGGGGGGAGAGTCCAACAGGAGGCCTCATCTCTCTATGGGGGGGGAGAGTCCAACAGGAGGCCTCATCTCTCTATGGGGGGGAGAGTCCAACAGTCATGTCCACAAGGGGGAAATAGAACACAGGGCTTGACTGAAGTGTTTGAAAATGAGAACTATGAGTCTATGAATCAACAGATTTCTTTTGAATTTACTAAATTACTCCCATCGTTTTTAGTCACCAGGGGTTGACAGTCTGATAAGGACAAGCAAAATTTATGCTTTCTAAAGCTAACATAAGTAGAAAGGAACTGTGAAGCGCCATATTTCGGACATGTCTTGAATGCACTTTCACACACAAAACATCAACAGTCAGTGTTCACCTGCTCGTTGCTGGTCTGAGTACCAGACACTGGAATTCTGGATTAATCCGGAAGAATCACAACCCTGAAATGTAGACCTCACTCACAGAGTTTCTAAACCCAGAGGTGCAACATCGCCTCGAAACAGAAACAGTGAAACAGATCAAACAGACCAAGCCAGGGTTTGAGAAGTCAATGAGAGAAGTGAAAAATTATTCCTTAGTTGTTAGGAAGAAATCTAAAGGCACAATCTAAATTCAAGCCAATGTCTTAAGTAGTTGAACATGTTATTACTCCAACCTCGTGAAAGTGTCAAACTGACCCGTATTCATTTTCATCAAAAAACAACTTTATATCGAAGGAATGCCTTTGATTTGACGGCCTGCACATGCGCAGTTCGGCGTGAGACGACTGCTAGACGCGATGACGTGTTTCTGCGCATAAGCTTAGCTAACCAACGTCGCCATGACATCGCCTACAAGTGTGATTGGGTTTTCTATTGGAGAAGCACTTTCTGCCTATCTTCATACTGTACTGTCTTTGCCTCAGTCATTTCCAAAGCAGACCTAATACCTTTTACACACTCTCTACCTGCATTGCGTGTACTGTACCTGGTTGGTAGTTGGGGAGGGTGTATAAGAAGTATGTGTACCTGGTTGGTAGTCCCTGAGCTGTCACTTCTGCTGAGTGCTTCCCCGTGAGAGGCGGAGAGCACAGACAGCTCGGAGGCGGAGCGTGCGGCGGAGGGGGGCGGGGTGTAGAGGGAGCGGGAGTTGAAGCTAGCCATGTCGGGGTCCTCCTCCCCTTCGGTCCCCTGGTGACACAGCACCAGGTCCACCAGGTCCTCCTTCTCCCTGCATGTGTCTGTGGGGACGTTGCGTAGCAGCAGGTACTGCCGCAGGTCTTTGACCCTCAGCCGCATCAGCTGTGGTCTCTGGAAGGCTGTCCCCTTCAGCAGGTGACATGTGGCACATATACGCAGGTTCTCCTGAAGCATGGAGCACAGCGTGCAGAAGCTTTTCTTACAGTCGCAGCAGATATGCTGGGGGAAGAGAGCGATAGAGTGTAGGCATTAAGCAGGAGAAGATACAGGAGAAGTGACATTGACACAGTAATGTAGGCTTCAGGGCACATTGTGCCTTAATAGGATCTGCAAAGCCTGCCCAATATTCAGCATTTAGAATTTATCTCCATTAAAACATTAGTGCAGAAGGAAGATTCAAAATGATTAAATTTCAGATAAGCCTACTCAATAAGCAATCACCTCCCTCTATATACTGTACCTTGAACGGTCGTTTGTTCTTAACAAAGCAACACTGATGCTTAATCTTCAATAGAACCTTCACAGGCTGTGGTGGACAGATGAGAGGAAAGTGGGGTATTGGAGCTCAAACAAGGCATGAGGAAGCAGAATATCAATGTCTTGATACTGTTACTGCATTTTTCAATCATGTGCATCTGTTCCGCTCCCTCTCCAGACAGTCGGACAGGAGGCAGGCAGTTCATTTCTTTCATGTCACAAACATCAAACAGTAATAACATGCAAGCGGTGGGATTAGACGCTGTGTTGGCATGGTGACTCAGAGCATCAGAGGGACCAAACCAGACAGAGTAATGGAATTCAACCCTGCAATATGGAGAGGATCTCTTCCCCCCCCCCCCCATCAGCAACAAACCCCCAGACTGATCTACATTTACATTTTAGTCATTTAGCAGACGCTCTTATCCAGAGCGACTTACAGTTAGTGAGTGTATCTACAGTGCATTCGGAAAGTATTCAGACCCATTGGCATTTTCCACATTTTGTTACGTTACAGCCTTATTCTAAAATGAATGTAATTGTTTATTTTCCTCATCAATCTACACACAATACCCCATGATGACAAAGCAAAAACAGGTTTTTAGAAATGTTCTCCCATTCTTCTCTGCAGATCCTCTCAAGCTCTCACAGGTTGGATGGAGAGTGTCGCTGCACAGCTATTTTCAGTTCTCTCCAGAGATGTTAGATCGGGTTCAAGTCCGGGCTCTGGCTGGGCCACTCAAGGACATTCAGAGACTTGTCCCGAAGCCACTCCTCCGTTGTCTTGGCTGTGTGCTTAGGGTTGTTGTCCTGTTGCAAGGTGAAACTTCACCCCAGTTTGAGGTCCTGAGCGCTCTGGAGCAGGTTTTCATCAAGGATCTCTCTGTACTTTGCTCCGTTCATCTTTGCCTTGATCCTGACTAGTCTCCCAGTCCCTGCCGCTGAAAAACATCCCCACAGCATGATGCTGCCACCACCATGCTTCACCATAGGGATGGTGCCAGGTTTCCTCAAGATGTGACGCTTGGCATTTAGCCCAAAGAGTTCAATCTTGGTTTCATCAGACTAGAGAATCTTGTTTCTCATGGTCTGAGAGTCTTTAGGTGCCTTTTGGCAAACTCCAAGCAGGCTGTCATGTGCCTTTTACTGAGGAGTGGCTTCCGTCTGGCCACTCTACCATAAAGGCCTGATTGGTGGAGTGCTGCAGAGATGGTTGTCCTTCTGGAAGGTTATCCCATCTCCACAGAGGAACTCTAGAGCTCTGTCAGAGTGACCATCGGGTTCTTGGTCACCTCCCTGACCAAGGCCCTTCTCCCCCGATTGCTCAGTTTGGCCGGGCGGCCAGCTCTAGGAAGAGTCTTGGTGGTTCCAAACTTCTTCCATTTAAGAATGATGGAGGCCACTGTGTTCTTGGGGACCTTCAATGCTGAATACATTTTTTGGTACCCTTCCCCAGATCTGTGCCTCGACACAATCCTGTCTCGGAGCTCCAAGGACAATTCCTTCGACCTCATGGCTTGGATTTTGATCTGACATGCACGGTCAACTGTGGGACCTTATATAGACAGGTGTGTGCCTTTCCAAATAATGTCCAATCAATTTAATTTACCACAGGTGGACTCCAATCAAGTTGTAGAAACATCAAGGATGATCAATAGAAACAGGATGCACCGGAGCTCAATTTCGAGTCTCATAGCAAAGGGTCTGAATACTTATGTAAATGTCATATTTCCGTTTTTTATTTTTAATACATTTGCAAAAAAATCCCAAACCAAACACCTACCTTCCTCCTGAAGACAGAGAATGCCTGGCCACAGGCCTTACATACGAGGCTGGGGCTCCCTGAGGTTGTGGGCGGGTATGTGGAGTATCCTGTGCTGGGGGCGAACCGGAAGGGTCCGGCACCGGCTCCGAACCCGGGCTGCTGGCCTCTCACTGCCCCTGTGCCCATGACTTCATTCAGCAGACCACAGCATGAAGCCCACATGGATGAGGCCCCCGCCTGGAGAACACAAAACAGAGACAGCAGTTTTCAGACTGCACAGCTCCACAGATGTGAGAAGGGGTCACCACCTCAGTGAGGTATCACTGTCAAACATCACCAGTAGCAGTCCTGTAGTGTCGACAAGCCTTCTCTCCCTGAGCTGAGACCTCTCTGTGCAACACCACACAGCCTATAGTCATTATCACAGTGATACCTACAAACAGATTGGCTAGATGCTGCAATGTATTGCACACAGGTTATTGCAAGTCTGATAACATCTCCTAAAAACAGAGTGGTCATGGAAACACCGGCTATTATACTATTATGCAGCCACAGGAGAAGCTGGAGGCATCACTTTATATGGCTGAGGAAATGAAAAGCATAAGTTGAGAATAGCACAATAGACTAGACATGCCCAGGGACTGCATGCAGACCAGCCCTAATAGACCTACATCTAGCACATCCTATCATTGTTTCTCTAAATGGGATACTTTGTCTGCAGGGGAAAATGTGTGAGAAAGCAAAGGCACGTAGTGGAGAAATGATTAATGTATCAGATAAACTAACCTCGATGAGTGGCTGCAAATGATAACTCGATATCTGTTCCCTGGAAATATAACACTAGAGAATGCATTCCCTGTATTAACATGGGGAGATAATTCCACATACTCCATTTCAGTTCAGCTCCTATCTCTATCAATGAGGTAATCTGTTTCCAAACGTAGGCCCTATCAATTGGCCATTGCATACTATAATGGTCTCTGTTACATGAACAATAGTACTGTGCAGTAGTCAAATACAGGAATATACACTACATTACCAAAAGTATGTGGACACCTGCTCTCATTCCAAAATCAGAGTTGGTCCCCCCTTTGCTGCTATAACAGCCTCCACTCTTCTGGGAAGGCTTTCCACTAGATGTTGGAACATTGTTGCTGGGATTTGCTTCCATTCAGCCACAAGAGCATTAGTGAGGTCGGGCACTGATGTTGGGCGATTAAGCCTGGCTCGCAGTCGGCGTTCCAATTCATCACAAAGGTGTTTGATGGGGTTGAGGTCATGGCTCTGTGCAGGCCAGTCAAGTTCTTCCACACCGATCTCGACAAACCATTTCTGTATGGACCTCGCTTTGTGCACGCAGGCATTGTCATGCTGAAACAGGAAAGGGCCTTCCCCAAACTGTTGCCACAAAGTTGGAAGCACAGAATCGTCTAGAATGTCATTGTATGCTGTAGCGTTAAGATTTCCCTTTACTGGAACTAAGGGGCCTAGCCCGAACCATGAAAAACAGCCCCAGATCATTATTCCTCAGGCAACAGGTCAATTTATGCATAAATTGGTGTACTATTTTGTTACTACTGTTGTAATAATGTTGCATTTTATGCTCTCAAGTTGTTAGTCTAAATGTGAGTCTGCATTCACTTATTTTTTTATGGATGTGTTGTGGGGGTGTTTCTCTTGAAGGTGCAGTTTCTCCTGGTAAATAAGCTTGTGTACATTGACCTGTATCTGCATTGAGTCCCCTGCTGATCTGGTTCTACCAATAATCATCCATTCAGCAAAATGCCTCAGTTGTCTCTCAGTTTGAGATTGTATTATGATCAAATGAAATACAGTATTCGTTCAATATCTTTACTAATACATATTAATTGAAGAGAGATAGTACAACAATTACAAAATTGCATTAGGTGGGCAACAATGTGATAATTGTTTTTGAACATTATAACTCCCACTATAAACTTGGCTAAACATAATTTGATAGATACACACACACACACAAACTACATGTTAATGTTTTTAAATGTATGTAAATTGTAAAGACTTTTGTCTGTAATGTCTTTTTCGTTATGTGTCGGACCCCAGTAAAACCAGCTGTCGCCATTGGCGTCGGCTAATGGGGATCCTAATAAATCAAATCAAAATCATTATGCCCAATGAATTAACTTTATGATTTCTACAGATGTGCGACCAAACAGCCTACAGACAACGCTAACATACATTTAAAAAAATTGAATAATTTGTTGACAAGAAGCGTGCTTCCTAGGAGGGAGGATATGAACTGTGATATAAATATCCATTCAATCACAAATATCAGTCACAAGCAAGGAAAAATGTCAATCAATCTACTGTTCTTTCACAAAGCAGGCTACAACTAGCAGTAGGCACAGACACAAAACATCAAGCTACCCTTGGTCTTGGGAGCAATCATCAATAGTACTGATATTGGATATTAAAACTGGTTAATGTTAATTTTCCTGGATGAGTAGCTAGTGTAATCTAGCTAGCTCTTACAGTTAGAAAAGAAAATCTAGCTAATAGTAGCTAGCTAACGTTATTTCGGCAGCATTGTAACTTAGCTAGCTACAGTGCCTTCAGAAAGTATTCATACCCCTTGACTTATTGCACATTTTGTTGTGTTACAGCCTGAATTCAAAATGATTCAAAAAAATATTTTTTCTTCTCACTCATCTACACAAAAAAAAAAAAAAAAAAATGTTTTTATAAGTTTTTGCAAATGTATTGAAAATGAAATACAGAAATCTCTCATTTACATAAGTATTCACACCTCTGAGTCAATACTTTGTAGAAACACCTTTGGCAGCGATTACAGCTGTGAGTCTTTCTGGGTTAGTCTCTAAGAGCTTTCCACACCTGGATTGTGCAACCTTTGACCATTATTAATTTTAAAAAATTTCAAGCTCTGTTAAATTGGTTGTTGATCATTGCTAGATAATCATTTTCATGTTTGCCATAGATTTTCAAGTAGATTTAAATCAAAACTGTAACTAGGCCACTCAGAAACGTTCAATGTCGTCATGGTAAGCAACTCCTGTGTATATCTGGCCTTGTGTTCACGTTATTGTCCTGCTGAAAGGTGCATTTGTCTCCCAGTGTCTGTTAGAAAGCAGATTGAACCAAGTTTTCATCTGGGATTTTACCTCTGCTTAGCTCTACTCTGTTTCTTTTTATCCCAAAGAATCCCTAGTCCTTGCCAATGACAAGCATACCCATAACATGATGCAGCCACCATGATTGAAAATAAGAAGTGTGGTACTCAGTAATGTGTTGGATTTGCCACAAACATAACGCTTTGTATTCAGGACATAACGTTTATTTCTTTGCCACATTTGTTAGTGCTTTATTGCAAACAGGATGCATGTTTTGGAATATTTGTATTTTGTAAAGGCTTCGTTCTTTTCACTCTGTCATTTAGGTTAGTATTCTGGAGTAACTACAATGTTGTTGATACATCCTCAGTTTTCTCCTATCACAGCCATTAAACTCCTAACTGTTTTAAATTCACCATTGGCCTCATGGTGAGTTACGAAGGACGCCTGTATATTTGTAGTGACTGGGTGTATTAATACACCATCTAAAGTGTAATTAATAACTTCACCATGCTCAAAGAGATATTCAATGTCTATTTTTATTTTACTGATCTACTAATAGATGCCCTTCTTTGCGAGGCATTGGAAAACGTCCCTGGTCTTTGTGGTTGAATCTGTGTTTGAAATTCCCTGCTCGACTGAGGGACCTTACAGATAATTGTATGTGTGGGGTAAAGAGATGAGGTAGTCATTCAAAAAAACATGTTAAACACTATTATTGCACACAGAGTGAGTCCATGCAACTTATTATGTGACGTGTTAAGCAAATGTTTACTCCTGAACTTATTTATGCTTGCCATAACAAAGAGGTTGAATACTTACTGACTCAAGCCATTTCAGCTTTTCATTTTTGATTAATTTGTTAAAAATAATCATAAAACATAAATTCCACTTTGACATTATTGGGTTTTGTGTGTGGGCCAGAGACACAAATGTAAATGTAATAAAAATTTTATTCAGGCTGTAACACAAAATGTGTAAAAAGTCAAGTGATGTGAATAAGTTCCTTTCCTTAGGCACTGTACATACTGACAATACAGTAGCTGGCAATAACGTTAGCTGCATTAGCTAGCTACCAAGCATCTATGCTACAGATAGAGATGATTGAACTCAGATCACTCAACATAGCTAGCTAGCTATCTCTAGCTGGGTAGATAGCTCTTGTAAAAATAACAAAACAGCGACCTAGCTAGCTAGCTAACACATTCGCTGACAGTCAACTATCTTGACAGCAATCACCTATTGATAATTGAGGAAAGCATAATTTCAACAAGAAATAATTGTACCTTCATAGCAACTCCGGGTTGTGGAATTTGTGGCAATAAATGGATAGTCTGACCATTGCAAAAACTCAGGAATCCTCACTTAATTTACGTCTTCCTTCTTTCCACCAGCATCTCGAGCTTGAAACCAGGCAGCGAGGGTAACATGATGGACATAAATTCCACCAATTGAATCTAAGTCTCGTGCAGCAGTATCTATAATGTCCAATCACAATTTAGGTGCGTTAACTTTACTGCTGCTGTTCACTGCTATCCACCATTGTACGTTTTAGTCATTTAGCTGGCGACATACAGGAGCAATAAAGGTTAAGTGCCTTGCTCAAGTCGGCTCGGGGATTCGAACCAGTTAGGCTTTCGGTTACTGGCCCAACGCGCATAACCGCTAGGCTACCTAATGTATGTGCTCGTTTAGTAGAGAGAGCTGTCTTAAGATTGATTTGTATAGGTATTACTTCTTCACTAGCTAGGTTTCCATCCAATTGGCGACAGATTTTCATGCGAATATTCTAAAATTTGATGGAAAGAGATGTCTTTCCATCAAATTGATTTTTGCTGTACCGAATCAAAATCAAAATCTTTCCACCGCCATTTCTTGCTAATTAACCAAGACACAAATGTCATGTCCAATGATAGTTACCGGAGTGTAACTCCAGTTCTATGAGTGGAGCGGAACCCAGTGGCGGTTCTAGACACATTTTACTAGGGGGGCCAAGGAGGGGCCAGTGTTTAATCAGGGGGGCACACATAAAAAAACTGGCAACACATGATATTCAAAGATTATAAACTTTATTTTACTTTAAAATCATATGACATTTATTATAACACGTATTTTGTACAAGAGTGCAGATGCAAGAGAGATAGTGCCATAAAAATGAAAAAATAAATAAATAAAAAAAAAGTAAAAAGTACAGGGTACAAATACAGGGTTCATATTCAATGTGAACAAAACTCCAGGATACAACAAAGGGTACAACAATGTGCCATTTCCTATTTATGGAAGCCCCACTACTGTGGACAGTTGATTCCACATTTTGTTTTAAGAAAGAAAACTTTCTGAGTGATTTATAAACAAAACACACTACCCTGTATCCATTTAGGTAAAATAAACCAAATCAGAAAAGAAATTCAATTCAAAGAGGCTTTACTAGCATGACCATATTGACATACAGTATTGCTAAAGCACATAAACAGGGAAACGTGTTACACATTAACATCCAGTAGTCCAATAGGATGCAGACAATAAACATTAAGTTAACATTCGTTTAAAAGCAACAATCATGTCAACACAATGTAGCAATATGAACAACACTGATGGATATCAGCAACAACATGAAAACAAGAATATTACAGGTGTCTGTGTGTGTGTGTGTGTGTGTCTGTGTCTTTGTGTACTTCACTGTCAGTTGATGAGCAGGTGTACAAAAAAAGGCTTTACAACATATATGGGCAAGTCCATTTAGGACAGCACATTTCCACCATAGTTCACATTAGGAAAAAATGACTGCATGAATGCTCACTAAACAAACATATACTACATATACCTTTTTATACAAATTTTTTTTCAGTAATTTTTTAAGAGTGAAAGGGAAGTAAGCAATCGCTCATCATAGGATCATACATATTTCAGTTACAATATTAGTTACAATATTAGTGTTAGTTAGATCATCATGTCAAAGCTGGACCTGCAAAGTCTGAACGACACAAGTGTGCAATGATTGGAGTGATTTTGTTTCTTTTTTTTCTTGCTTTGCTTGTTTTCAAAAGGAAAAATCATAGTTGGTAAAAAATAAAATAAACTTTCGTTGAAAGGTATCACACTGTATAATTTACAAATATCTAAAGAGGTTTAGTGGATGCCATAAAACATCTGTGGAGCTTGAAGATTTGTAGTACATAGATGTTTGGCAGAGATAATTCAAAAGAATAAAATCATAAACTCTATCTATCTATCGAGAGAGAGAGAGAGAGAGAGAGAGAGAGAGAGAGAGAGAGAGAGAGAGAGAGAGAGAGAGAAGTGTTTCCTTAGAGCAGTACATGCAGCAATCACTTAATGGAGTGATGTCATAATGGGCCACAAAACTTTGGGGATGTGGATGGAAAGTTACAGGCAGGAGAGGGGAACCAACAGAAGCAGGTCTTGAGACATGAGTTTGCCCCTTTTTGAAAACCTCTTGAGAGAGGATTAGTGTGTGGAACTACTGGTACTGTGAGGAAAAAAAGATAGATGATGTAAAATGAAAAATAAAACAAGCTTCAGCTTCTTAAGACACGGTGGGTTCATCTAAGTAGACACATGTAACTTCATGTGGACACCAGACTGTCTTTGTCTACACATCTAACTTCA